AGCGGGAACAGGGCTTTTTCCAGGGCTCCCAGCCTTTTTTAACACTGTGGAACCCCGGCCAGGAAAACCTGGGCTTTTCTATTTGCAAGGGATGACCAAGACACACTGGACGGGCACTAAAAACAACCGTCTACACGCGCCGGATCCACGTCTAAACTTGCTGCTGGCAGCTGCTGCGTCAAGGTGGCTTGTCATCGAGGACTACTACCCGCCTCCGCCTGCCCTTGGAAGTCTGTTGGACGCCACCGGGAAGAGCAGAGCGGCATGGTGGGACCACTCGACGTTTCCGAGATGCTCGTAGGGGAACCGCTGGCGTTGCTCGACTATCAGGCTGGCCTGCATCGTGAGCCTGGTACAAGGGGGTTATAGCAGGAAACAGAAACCGACATGGTCGCACTCGGTGGGACCACTCTGTATCGACCCTCGATATCTGCGAGGTACGGATACAGAGGTGCGAGTAGCCGGACGTGACCTTCGGTTGAAAAAGGCCTGACCAGCCTGGAACGAAGGAGAAGTAGAGACACGTACTATCTACTCCGAACTGTGTAGGTCTTCGACACATGGTGTCTGGACTCTGATATTGATAATCAGGTTGTCAGGTCGCACACGATGCTTGCCTCTATGACCCTGTCCATGAACTCCAGCTCCACCTAGTACTACGGAGAACATGGATACTCCGTAAAGGTGAAGGAACATGAAGGTGGGAATCTGAAATGGGCGGGCGGATACTAACCCCCTGACTCTCTCCACCAAACCTGCCCTACTGGTAGACGTACAGTAGCGCCGCAGTCCAGGTAGTAAAACACAAAGAGGGAGGCTGGACGGGCCCAACAGACACCTGGACGAAGCATCGGGCTGGGGATGGGTACAGCTGGGCTCACTTGGCCTCAGGCTGAATCGGTCGAGAGGTCGAGGGAGGTCGTTGAGAAAAAAGCTCTTCGTCGTGAGAACATCAAGCCCACATCTTGGAGGCCAAGAAGAATCAATGGGAAAAGGGTTAAAATGGATAGAGTTGGAACAGTGCTGGGTCATGCGGACTGGCCACCACCACCACCTCTCTCATACATCCATATGGAGTGGCGCGGTGTGGTGTTGAAGACGCCTCCTTCAGTGGCGCTGAATGCCGCACACTAGAGCCATTCTGGTAAGGCAGATGGAATACAGACCTTGCCGATTGGGTCCAAGTTGAATCTGTCCATCCATGTACACATATCCTGAACATGTACTTTGAGATATGTACCCTCTCTTTGTGGCAATGTAGACTACCTAGGGTTGCGAAAGCTAAGTATAGGTAGGTAGGTAGGTAGGGCAGGAAACTTGAGGGGCATGGCATGGGACGGAAAGAAAGATTGGCGACGGTAACGTGGGATGGGGAGAGGAGCAAGACCGGGAGCGAGAGCGGCAGAAAGACAGAAGAAACAGTCGACGGACGACGGATGACGGACGACGCGGGGAACAGAAAGGCAATGAAACACTTTTGTTCAGAGGTCCCTGAACTTGAACATTGCAACAAAACCCCAAGAGCTGTTGACAACCTCGGATTAATTGATCATGTCAGCACTGTTGACATGTCACAAAGAGACTGATTATTGGCCCAAGTTTTTGCTTGAACCATCTCACCTCATGGTAGGGAAGAAAAATAAGGAGGAATGAGAGATATAAGGTAACCTCAACGCACAGGCTAAGGTAAGATGACCCAGGAGACGGGTTCCAGTTTCCTTTGCACCTTCCATCGTCGTGTGCAACCTACCTCAGGTACCTTACACGGCACGCCTACCTTCCGTGCAGCTTCACCCACCACCTCTTTCCCCTTTTTTTCATCGCCCTCATTGGAGCACCTTCAGCGTGCCTTGCCTTCTTAGTTCCTTGCCTCACGGTATTGACATTCATCCTCCACCTCACCTCAACCACCCTAACCCACATACCGCATACCGCATCCCGCATACCTTGTGGTACAGACGGATACGCCATCTCTGTAGCTGCAGCTGGGCATACTGCTAGTCGACTTTGCCTCCCTCGATTCTGGTCGGTCCAGTCATCACGGAGCCGTCTGTCTGTGCGGCACGCCGGGCAGCACAGGTACACGGACTTGATCTCCGTTCCTCGCCCTCTTTTTGCTTACAACCCGGCCTGCCTTGCCCATCTACGAACCGGTCCAGACTCCAGACTGGCTTCTCAATATCTTCTATATCCATTACGGATATATTACTCGGAGGCCCTGCTCAGGGTTAAGATTGCTTCCAAGGTAGGAGACAAGCCCCCTTTCCGCATTTCCCGTGCTTTCATCCAAGTGTCATGATCCATGACGGGCTGGGATTGGAAGAGCCTAGGGGTTGTTCGAGGGAAAAGTGACATGGCGAAATGGGGACGGACGGAGTGGGACGAGTGGGAAACCATGCCTTTGACGGGAGACAAGCCACGGATAGACCAACGACAATGACACGGGCAAGGCTCTGGAAGTACACTGAAGAAACGGATCCTGGAAGCGCAATTACGCCGTACGCCAACCCGCCAGCGTTTTCCCGTCTTCGTGTTACAAGCCGTCGTCTCCAGCTCCATGATCCATCCATCACATCGGGCGCCCTCAAGTCTCCAGCCAGGGGTGGCATTGTCCCAAAATCCCACGGCAGCCATGGGAATTGCATGCGCCAGCGCCAGGAACAGGGGCAAAGCCGCAAGAGACAGTTGTGCAACGAGAAGGGGAGAGGTGGAAGTAGGAGAGGAAGAAGATGAAGATGATGACGATGAAGAAACCCACTAATTCTACTTAACAGCGGACGATTCCCCGAACTACGGGAAGCGGCGAATACCTGACGAAGCTTTTCTTCTTGAGGGCCGATGTTGAACAACACCCTGCCGTCTTACGTTCAATCTGAAAGTCAACTCTGCTCTTTCTGTCTGCACACGTCTTTCCCACCCACAGACCTCGCAGGAAGCGTCGTAGGCGCCGCTACCGTTTATCCGCCGGTCCACCCACCCCAAGATAGACTTGACGCAACTTCCACCGGGAAGTACTTGTCGACGTTGACTTCTAAAGCATTCAGACACCCGCGTTGATCTAGCATACGAATACCTACTACAATTACACCTCACACCTACCGGAGCACGTACACATACATACAAAGACACACGCACGCGCACCACTTGTCCTCTAGAACCGTTCTAGGGCCAAAACACAGCGAGACAAGCACCAGCAACCGGGACATACTGCCAGCCGGCCAGCCACAAGCACCAGGGACTAATAGAAGCTGTCCGTCTCTCCATCTACACCACTCAGTCCTCGCTTATTCACTTGGTCGAGTCCGGGGTCCCCCTCCCAACGTTGCGGAAAGACGCAAAGACAAATCTGCCGCAGCACGAGTTATTAACGACCTGCCCAGCGTTGTAGTCCACACACGGCTGACGATTTGTGCCTTAGCGACCTTGGTCTTCTCCGTACCAACTCTGCCCATTATTAGGTCCCCAAAGCCGGGAGCCCCTTGCCTGCTCCTGTGGCTCTATCCTCTGTACAACTATAGAGTAGAGCGAGCATCCCTACCTCCCTTGTCCACTTGTTGGATCACTTCTTCCCTTTCTTCTACCTACTCCATACATCCCATCCCATCAGATCGCTGCTCCTCCCGCTCCCGCCCGTCGCCGAAACGAACCCGACCCAACCTGCCCAACCGAAACTTCAAACTCGTCTGCCCGCGTCGACTTGCATCGCATCTCGTCACCCTGCAGCGTCCTCGCCCACGACCACAACCTCGACCTGGGACACGGCCTCGACCTTCGACCCGGGCCTTGACCGCGGTTCTTGACTAAATTTCCCACCCTCTCGCCAGTGTGCTTCTGTCTCAAGTCGATTGGACAACATCACCTGTTGCCTTGGCCTTATTACACGTTTTTGGCTGGGTTTAATTAATTCCGTCGTTTACTTCACAATCCCCGACTCGGTCTACTTTAACGCCAAGATATCGAGGCAGAAGGTCGAAGTCGCTCTGAAACTCCAACCCCAACCCAGCCCGACCCAACCAACGGCTTCTCGCCTTTCGCGACGCCTCTTGTCGTCTCGCAACCTATTGGTTTTCTAGCTAATCTGCATACGACGAGAAAGACGCCGATTACCGCAACACCGGACCCGGTCCGTACGACATCTCCAACTCCTCGTGCGACATCAATTGACCTGGTCGACGTGCTAAGCCGCCGAGGAAGAAACCTCCAACCCCAAACGAGTACGTCAATCCGCAGTCTGCTTTCCTTCCGTCGTCCCACCTGTTCATTGGACCAATTCTACCAATTGTCACCTGTTCAACTTGCCTACTTTGGACAAAACCTGCCGCGAGCGATACCTTCTTTGTATCCACGTCTTGTGCTTCAATGGCATCTTATTTCATGAATGATTGTTTTCCCTCATTCTCTCTCTAACCCCCCTTCCTGGCCGCACCGCACATTGGGAAGAAGCCAAGGACTGGTGATGTGGACAAGATGAGTCTTCCTCTCCACAGACAAACACAGTTGCACACATGCAGTCTGCACAATTCCTCTTGGCCCCCAGCTTGGGGCAGGCTGATGCTGTGACCGTTTACATGCAGGTACAGGTACTGGTACGCTGTCAAGGCCCAGCATCCGGCCCTTTCCTCTGCCCTAAGTTGCTGCACGTCGGCCCATGTCATTTTCACCCTCCATGCCACTCTGGAGGGCAAAAACAGTTCTGCAGCTTTTCTTCTTTCCCTCCCTCCCTCCCTCACTCTGTGCCTCTCTCTGGCCGCATCGTCGTCCGCCATGCTGTTGGCTGGGCCATGACTTGCAGTGTCGCTCGCGCCAGCAAGCTTTTTATGCAGCGAGGGGGCCACGAACAGACGAAAGCAGAAGGATGCGTTCGATCTGATGTAGGCGCGCGCTCGCGCGTATGTGTTGGTCGATGCAAGTGCAAGTGCAAGTGCAAGCGTAGCCAGGTCGAAGAGAGTGTCTAGAGTGGTGTTTTTGTGGTGGTGGTGGTGGTGGTGGTGAACGATACCATGTGTATGATGGCGTCGGCCGTGAGTGGGAGGGAGGCACCTGCGTACCAATCTCAATCCTCTTGGAATACAAGAAGCTGGCAGGAGTTGCCCAGCCTCGACGCAAGAACGAGACGACGGTACGATCACAGCCTCCTCCGTTGCCTTACCCCCTTTTCCGACTGGTGTCTGTTACATTTTGCCATCGGTTGTTTCCCTCATTCCCGGTACCAACCCTCATGGCATGAGACGGGGCTTTTGCTCAGGTCACATTTCTCCATAAAAGACAGTCGTGCTGGCAGTCTTATTCCCTGGATGCCATCAGCGTGTGCTCCCATCGACTTGCAGCCGCCTGCACTGCGACCATCATTTCGTTTCGTTTCCCATTCAAGACTCACTACTGCACGCACACTTTAAATTGCCCGCTGCTCGATCCCACTTCTCCAGGTCCAGTCCCCTTTTCATGTTTCAAAGACACCAGCTTCACACCTTGCCTATTAGCCCAAGATTGATCCTCTCACCGCGCGGGGCTTCGTCGTTAAATTACTGACTTGCAAAAGGCCACACATTATCGTTACCGTACATCGCAACGAAACGCTGTCAGAGTGGCAAGCAGTTTAACCAGATCAACACACGCCTAATTCTCGGACGTTGGTGATAGCTCGACTTGCTGCTACCCGTGCACCACCTGTCTCCTGTCGATGCCAGTACTGAGAAACAGCTCCATCAACTATCCTCGAAGCTAGAACTCAACCACAGTCGGCAAATCCTCTCAATTCACGTTGCCATTCGTATGGTAGCAATGTCACAAAACGAGTATGCCATGATGACAAAATAACGGTGGCATTGCTGCCCTAGACACTTGATCAGGACAAAGCGCTAACGTGCCATCTACAGTGGGACTGCTGGTACCGAGTACCCTGACTACACTGAGCATGGCCGCCAGTATGGCTCATTCGGACGCGGGCGTTATCTGTTTCCCATCGATGAGGTCGGTTACCCGTGGTCTCTCACCGCGTTTAAAAAAAAAAAAAAAACCTCCCCACGCTAATGCACTGTGAAGCGCGAGAAAGACAGACTAGACATTTTCCACAGGCTTATTATCACGGCAAGAGGAGGTCCTCAAGGCCCTTCTCAAGGTACTTTTTATGATGTACCGCTGCCTGACAGAGCCCACGTCCTTGACCTCGGGACGGGCACTGGCATATGGGCGATAGACGTGGGCGAGTAAGATCATCCATCCAATCCTTCGTGCGCCGAGTACTAGAACCTGGGCTCGCTGACACTCTCGCCATAGTAAGCTGTACAAGAGTGCAGATAACCAGGGGCACGTCTTGGGGCTAGATCTTTCACTCATTCAGCCCAAGCTGTATGTTCTGCGCCTCCTTTCCTACAGCTCTCAGTGGCGCAAACTCATCGTTTTGTAGGATCCCCACGTGTGTTAGGTTCGAGCGAGCCGATGTTGAGGCGCCATTGTCGGTTCCAGAACAAACCTTCGATTTGGTTCACATCCAGATGATGCTTGGTTCCATACGAGATTGGCCAGATTTGTATAGGAAGTCATTCAGGCACATTAGGCCCGGAGGTTACATCGAGCAGGTGGAAATCGAATGGATTCCTCGCAGCGACGACAACTCTCTGGCGACTGACTCGCCTCTCGCCGTTTGGGGTAACACCCTGCGGCACGCGATGCAGACGTACAGACAACCCATCGATATACTCGACACAACAAAAGAGCTCCGCGCCGCAGGCTTCACAGACATCACCGAGAAGATGATCAGACTGCCTACGAACCCGTGGAGCCAGGACCCGTTTGAACAAGAGTTGGGCAGATGGTTCAATCTCGGCCTCACGCATTGCTTGGAAGGCCTCACACTTGCGCCATTTATTCAGGTGGAAGGCTGGCCCAGACAGGAGGTGGACAGACTGGTGGAAGACCTCAAGAAGGATATTTGTCGACTCAATGTTCATGCATACTGCAGAATGTGAGTTACCGCATGTAGACTGCCGTCCTGGCAGCTTCGAGCTTTTCATGATGCAGAGTACTGATTGCTGGGCGCAGGTTTGTTTGGACGGCAAGGAGACCAATCCAATAGATTTGGAAAGGCGTCACTCAGACTGCCGAGGGTTACATCACGTCTCACAAGATGAAAGTTTGACCGCTGGCGATTTTCCTGCCGTCACCCTCCCGTCGCAAGCTCATATCCAGAACGGGACGAGGCAAGCTAGCAACTTTCGACAAAATCTCGCCAAAGCAACACATTTCAAGCGGAACACTAAAGCAGTTTTCTGTGTCAACACTCTTCTCCCCCGCCCAGACATCATCAGGCTTGCCACTGAGTCGTCCTGGTGCCGTGCTGCCGACAGGCAAGCTTGTCATTGCCATTGCGACGTTTCAGCGACTACTTTCGGGGTCTATCTTCTTTTCTACTGCACGTCATGGGAGTGCCGCATGCTTGCTTTCTCTTCCTTCTTTCTCGCCTAGACAGGCTGGCAATCCTCCGGCTGGCCAAGTACGGACCAAACACAACAGAGTCGGCAGCTTCAGGCTGTCTATGCCCAAATTCGTTTGACGGGCTCCATCATCTTACCCTCGTCGAGGTTTGGGCTGTTTCCGTAGGGTGTCGCATGTCACTAGATTCGATCAAGGCTTCCTGCATTGCTCTGGCTAGGCGCATACGGACACAATTGGGAACGCAACTGTTTTTAGATTGTGTCTCGGAAGCTCGACAGTCACAGACCGACTTCATTGCTCCGTGGAGAAATCCCTTCGGTTTCTTTCTATACTCCAGCGTTTTGCTTTATCGCTGAGCAATTTGCCCAGACCTAGCACATGAACACATAGCAATATCGTAGCCGGACAGGGCAGTTACGGTCGCTTCGCCTTTCATCACTTCATCATATCCTTTCCTTTTCGTACGGAATCTTTGGCGGGGAAGAAAATAGGCCGGGTTTAAACCAAAAGTTCTTGGCGGCGCGAAGTTGGCAGCATTGCAGTTGGGCCGTTTTATTTTTGTTCTTTTGCATGCTGCATTCTCTGCTCTGTCTCGGCGTAGAGCGGACTTGGGCTTGGGGCGTTGGATTTCATCGTGCACGCGCATGCGGATGGCAAAAGGGCGCGAGGAAATGAGGAACCAGTGCAGGCATGTCGGCCAGCGGAGCATAGCACGTCATTTGTTGTGGCATGACCAGTGTTTTACCGGGATGGCTGTCACGTCCGCAGCGCAAAGGCTGATATGTGCGGCCTTAGTTTGTTTGTTTGTTTTTTCTGCCTCATTTCTAAGTTATTATGAGATACAAAAATAGAATTGGGTTATGATGGGCAATGACCTAGATCAAGAACCGAATGGGCAGCCCCTTGAGAATATTCTAGATGAACCAGCCCAGCGATATTGGGTGGTCACTCGAGGAAGAATCGAGCCACGATTCTAGTGCCACCACGAATGAGACGTCTCGATGGCGCTTTGGGAAGTATGTCGGTTGTTTCTGTAGAGGCGTAAGCTAATAATCGTTGCCCCCAAATTGTGCGGGTAGGAGGAGTTGTCATATCTCTTCTACATTACTTTCAATGCTCATGGACATGCACCAGCCACAATCATCGATCCAAGATTGGTTAACAGCTGGGTGTTATTCCCTTACCCATATCCACATCAACTTGCTGATTTACACGGCTCCCGCATGCCCATCCGCATCACTCGATCATCCCTGATGGCGTGGCCTCCCCAACTCTTGTTGGTTGCTAACGTACCCGCTTCCTCTGCCCACCAATGGGATATTGCACTGACAACGTTACAGTCCCTCGTTGAGCCCTGCCAGGTTAGGCAACGACTGCATAGTGTGCGGGCCGGGATAGGAACCTCGCTGTGGCTGCCAACGTTTAGACACCGAAGCAATGAACCCTCTCGATGGTGAGGATATGTGGGAGACGGCACACCGATTTTCGATGAGAAGGGAAATCGACGCGTCGTGCAATGGGTGATGTCCTGCAAAGCACCGATCTTCTCAACCGCTTCATGCCGTTGGTTCATGGCGACACGTTGTAGATGGGGAGGGACCAGGCCGTGTGCAGTTTTTCTGCTTCTGCTACGTCCAGGAGATACGCATCACTCACGCCTGTTCTTTCCTATCCTGTACAGACCAAAAATGGAAACATCACGAGCGGCTGACTATTTCAAATTTGATGTTCTCGAGCTAGCTCGGCTCTTCTTCTCTACTATATCGCTCGTCCATGGGGAATAAGACATGTTCCTTTTTCCAAGTGGAAGTTGGGCAAACGTTCTCCCCCCCTCAAGGTTGCCAACCGACGCCCCGACCCTCATCATGCCAACAACCTACATGTACCCTCGACATGCGACTTGCATGACGGAAGGGAGTCCCGCCGCCCCGAGTCTGCAGTCCAAAGTCCAAATCAAATGTTGGCTGGGGTGGTGGATCTCCTTTTGCCAACACTCTCGCTCTATCCTCCCCCACCCTTCGACTCTGCCTTACGCCCGCTGCTCGTCCGCTGCTCCCCTCTCCACCCGCACTTGGATTTAATACGCATGTGCGTGTACACACCCTCGCACTTTTTATACTTGTCATTGCCCCCCCCTCCTTTGATGTATCTAGACACTCATCAAAAGCCCGATGCCCGGATCCGGGAACACGGATCTCAAGATGAGTGGTCCGGGCCGGAAAAAAAAGGGCGTTTGGCTAGTTTTCTCTGCGCAATCCTGATGTCGATATGGGGCGAAAGGAGAGTAGCAGTTAAGGCAAAGAAAGAGAGAGAGAGAGTTGTCCTGCAAGATTGTAGAGTCTGACATTGGGTTTCCTCCTCATACCTAACGCGGCGCCGCCGTCCCGGTTTATTCACCTTACATTTCATCCCCCCTTCTCCCTAACCTTCCTTTACCTTAAGTCTCCGCCAGCAGCTGTGCCGTTGCCCAACCAAAGTTGAAACCGGTCTGGGTCTCGATCCTTGGTCTCAGCCTCGGGCCGGGTGTGGCGGGCCGCCTACAACGGGCCTTGCCTGCGCTGGGATCTTTCTCAAATCTCATGCGGGAACAACTGGCTCTGCAGGATCAGAAGGTGAAAGGTGATTATGTTTAGGGCGGGTCATGCATCTTTCTGCATCCTCTGTAGGATCGCGGATGCGATTACCTGGGATACGAAATCCACGCTGCCAAGGGGCTGGAAGGGGAGGGGGAAGGGGGGGTTTGTCAAGAGATGCATTGAAGGCGGGCGGTCGTTGCCCGACAAGGGCCCAACAGATATTTTGAGTTAGGAGAGGACGGAAGCTTGACGAGACCTTGATACGCTTTTCTTTTCGTAAGGTGGGACTTTGCATTGAGTAGCTTCGACCCGAACCATGTCGAACGATGTAGTGGTCTTGCACGATACGGCAGTGTATCTTTTGCATCAGTCTTTCCTGAGTTATTTCTGGCACTTCCTTTCCTACCTCACGGAGAGGCGAAATTTTACGCGATTGTTGGATTGAGGGAGGGCCATTGCTCTTGAAACTATCTACGAGAATCGAGCCTTCTTTCCTCACCTTCTTCTGAGAAGCGCCCCTCGTTTCCGTTTGGGAAAAATCCGCGGCAAATTCGCTTGCCTCTCGATGGTGATGTATTGAAAGCCCTCTAGCTCGGCCAGGATCAACAAACCAAGACCACTGTGCTAAGCTTGTCGCTCCATCTTGTCCTCCTTGGGACTGTAGTTGGATCATGGGTCGATAAGGAAGCTCGGATAACCCAATCCCGATGAGCTCCATTAACGAAAAGGTGTTTAATCTGCAAGTCTCTGCAATCTTTTTCTGCTATCCTTGATTACCTTATAACTGGTCGACTCGGCTTGAGGACGTACGCCGCGATGCTAAGATACTCTAACCTGCTGTAAAGCTTTTTTCATTTTCTTCATGAATTTTCCTCTTACATTCGAGGCTCATTTCGTTGGTTAGAGATGGTCAAAGATGACGGTTCACTTCACTGCGATCCTGCAAGCCCGAGCACCTACAACACTGGCACGTTGCCCTTTCATCCCATGACATAGCCAGACAGAAGAAACATGACGTCTGATGGAGGTAGAGACGTAACTTCCTTCTTGACAGTTCTTGGAACGAACACATCAAACAAGAAACGTCGAACGGTCAGGAAGGTCTGTCAGAGGAAACCGTTTTGACTCCTTAGCATGCGAGGCTTGTACCTCACTGGCTGCCGCAAAACTCTGCTGGCCACCATCCTTGCCGAGGACCATTCCCCTCTTTTGGCGCCGCCGGGGACGTCCTGTTTGCTCTTCCTCTTCGAACCCGAGGGGATGGTAAACGGCATCCCACCGAGATAGGGGAGGAGACACCAACGTCCCCAAACATGGCTGTAATACTATCTTAGTCTCTCCGACTCGTAGGACTTCCCTTCCCCGACCTTGACGTCTGTCACATCCACGAATCTGTGCCCATATGGGTGGGTTGCTCGATCCTTTTACACTATGCCGCTATCAAGTGTAGCTAGGGGGTCCCGGGGTCGGGATCGGGGAAGAGGGCTAAAAGGGGGCGTCGATTGAGGACAATATCAATACGCCACGGAACCATTCATAAGAAGGGGCGTTTTTCGATGACCACGCGGTATGTAGTCGATGGAGGCGCCGGTATTCTTCCTATGAAGTACGAATACGGGGAAATTTTAGCAAACGGTACAGGCCCTTGACGGGATTCGACGGGGCAGGTGAGAATACCTCCCCTCATGTAGATAGAGCGGCGTAGGGTTGGATGAAGCACCACCTCTGCCACTAACCTACCCCTTCCCTGCCTGGGAACTTCTGCCTTGAACGAGAATCCGATTCACAGTAATCAAACCATGCCAGGTGAGGCCGCGGGGGTGGGTTCGGGGAGTGAGATACTCCATTTTGGCTGGCTGTTGCCTGTTAAAATGAGGCACGAGTGCCGTTCCCGCCAATGTCGCGAGGGGACCGATCACCGTTGGTTCGAAAGGGGGGCTTCTGCGTCTCCTCCCCCCGCCCTCGATAACCAGGCTCTTGGACTGAAAAGCGGAAGAAGGTGGCTGGGCTTGTGTCCCAGGCCTCTGCTCCTGGTATGATGTGAAGGGCTCCTAAGGAGAAAGGTAACGGTGTCTCGCTGCTGATGGATCTGGTCTGTACAGACCAGACGGCTGACTGTTTTCCCATGTGTGGTTTTTTTTTTTTTTTTTTTTTTTCAGATGTAGGCTTTCGTTGACTCGATGACATTTCACCGAAGTGCTTTGGTAGCGAGTGCCATGCCAACTCTCACCTGCCTATCTGTAGGCTGTTCACTCCTGGATCTAAGATAGAATTAGGAACTTAGAGATGACAGCAAAGAAGTACGTTTCCAAAGTGAAGCTGCCTTCCAAAATTACTGGCGAGCCATATCAAAATACCCCACCCCCAAGTGCGAGAGCCGGTCTTTTCCCACAGGAGATGTAGATTCTTTCGATCGCCTCGCTCTTGGACTCACCTCAGATGGCCCGGCGCAGGATACACTCTCGGCTCAATTGTCCGTAGACAGTTGACCGTATTCTTGTTTTTGATAACGTGGATGTAAAGCAAGTTGCATTCAGTTGCATCAAAATGGAAAGGGGGGAGGGGGTTGGAGACTAGAGCAAACTATGGCTATGCTACAGTCACGTCGCCGAATAGGACCGATTACCTCGGCGATATCCCGGGACTTGGAAGGAGACTGTGGGGAGGGGAGGAGGTTTCTGGCTCTGACAGAGAAGGGATACGCAGTCGTAGGCTCGCAACTAGGGATTCCCATGTCCCACTGTGGTTGTCAACAGAGAAAGGCTTGCACCGGGGGAAAAAACCGAAAGCCCCAGCCGCCGCGAAGACAATGGATGAGTGAGCGTAATTCTGGTTTCACAGAATTCTCAGAGGTCGGGCCACAGCAGTGTTGAGATCAAGATGTGTTCTTATTCATCTGCATAGGTAGGACTTGGTCTCCTGAAAACGCCACCTACACGAAAGCTATCATGATGTCTCGCAGTGGCATTGTTGATGCTGTGTACTTCAAATTGGAACATTAGAAACTTCAATAGTCGACATAGCTGCCCTGAACGCTTCTTTTTATCAACCCGAAGCACCATAGATGTAGTATAAGCCTGCTCCTACTTGAAAAGAATCAAGTCGTTGCCGAGGCGTGACATGGATGGAACAGCCGATTTCTCTCTGGGCGGCGGGAAGAGAACAAAGGAAGGTGCCCAGAGATGAACTCCACGTCACCATCACATCTGCGCGAGGATGGTGAGGGGTATTAATTTAACGCCGAAAGTTCGTACTCTTGGCTACGCTTCTACTCATCCCGTTTGAGTAATGGTATTATCCATGCCGTAGAAATGATTGGGGATTATGTTTGTCCAAGCCCAGTAGTGGTCCAAACACGCCGTGCGGCAGGACGGTAGGTGTTCGTCTATGCGACTGAGGCTTGTGGTCTGTCTAGCTGAAGACGAGGTTGCAATTGAGTCCAGCTTTTAATGCGAAGAGATCACGGAGATGGGTATGCTTGCTCTCAGTCTTGACATCACAGCTTGGGGGAGGATCAGCTCTTGAATGCATTCTTAGCTTAGCTGAATTCTCATGTCATCACTATCTGTATCAGATGAAGTAGGATGTACTACAATCGCACTCGTTAGCGAGTTAGAAACGAGATAGACATTTGGGTCGCTTCCTCGTAACAAGTGACTGTTCTCACAGTCCAATCCTGCTTCTCAAAAACCGAAATTGCATACGGATTCTTACATATTCACAACAGAGTCGAAGAGCCGATGGGTGAACGAATCCTCGCATTCTTATCGACACAATCAGAAGGCGTCTCATGTCTTGGGCCCTGGACTCTCCCAACGAAAAGTACGAGATTCGGCTTAAGCTTTCAACCCAAGACGATTTCACAACTCTTGATGCCTACTACACGCATCAATGGTAGGCCAGTTGGTTCAAAAGTTTCCTGATATTTACCTGCAGGAGGCAGGTTTCGCAGCATGGTTAGGCTGCGGTTGACGTGTGTGATGTACAGAGTCTACATAAGGAAATAATAAGGTGGCCTGTTAGGAACGTGTACGGCGACCGGATTCCAAGGTCCCCGAGACCGCTCTTCTTCTGCTTTCCCAGACATCAGCCCCGCACCGGTCAAAGGAATCTCGACCGGGAGCTGTGCGACTGGATACATGAACCTCTACCACGGGCATCGAGCATTCATGTCATGGTTCCAAAAAATAAAACACCCCCTTCCCCCGATTTCTATAACCCGAAGCCACCATTGCGCTCTTTTTCTTTAGATGCAGTTTGAATTAATAACCGGGAACAAGTCTTACCTCCACATCGTCGTTTCGAATCGGTACGAGATGGGGAGAATTCGAAGGTTCTCTCCGTTTAGTGGGCAGCAGCGTGGGTCTCGCCGTGGTAGCCCACGAGCTTGAAGCGGCCGAGTATCTCGCCGACAGTGAAGAAGCCGAGGCATTCGGCGGCGACAACGGCACCGGCGGCCACGGTCGCGGTGTTGATGCGGGAGGCGATGGTGGCGGGCTTAGCAGCGACGGCGGTGCTGGCGGCTGAGGAGGCGGAGCTCAGGAGGGCGTTGGGGTTCTTGACGGCGCCGAGGGCGGTCTGGAAGTAGGACTGGAAGGTGCTGACGGGGCTGCATTTCTTCATCAGGAACTGGACGACTAGCCCTCGCTCTGTTGCTGGACTTACGGAGGAGCCATCTTCTGGCCGTGGAAGACAATCTTGGACAGCTCAAGAGTGACGCGGGAGTAGTAGATAACCCAGGGAACCTGTTCTGTAGTCGCATATCCGTCAGCAATTGGCCCGCTGAATCGACAGTGCGCGCTCAATTGCGCCCCTGCTCGTAGAATTCCTCGCGGCCGGATAACACATACTCTCGATGAAGCCGATAATCTTGCCGGTGCGGCCGCCGACCTTGCCGAGGGCGTTGACGGCACCAGACAGAGCGGGACCGGCGGCGCTGGCGGCGCGGCTCAGGCCCTGGGCGGCCTTGGCCGAGTATTCGCTGGCCTTACCGGCAGCGTCCTTTGCGGACTCGGTGGCCTTCTTGGTGGTGGTCGACTCGAAACGGGCGGCGACTCGGGAAGGGAGGGTGCGAGCAGTGGTCCGCATCAGCGGGCGGGCGAGGGCGGAAGACATATTGAACCGGGGGAGAGAGAGGTTGATGTCGGAGAAGGGGGATTAAAAATCAGGGTATCTGGATCTCGGATCGGGGTGCGTCGATGTGGGCGGCTCCGGGGTCGAAGAAGGAGCTTCGTTGGAGGCCAATTGATAGGAAGGGGGTGGTGATGGGTGGTTTTTTTTGCGTGAAGTGGAAAAAAAGAGCTCTCTTGCCAGAGTCTGCCCGACCTCTCGGAAGATTTCGCTTGTGCTGTTGTTGCGAGCCGGACGAGTGGTGGTCCGTGCACACCTATGTTTTCTTGCTTATGAAAAATGCCAAGTGCTAATGTACCTACCTCAAGTCAAGGTAAGGTAGGTAGGGCGCAGGGAAGTTGAGGTACAAGGAACAACAACGTACCTTTTTCCTTGCTTCTGTGCTTCCCAGGGGAAGGAGGTTGGCGCACCCGTCGGCCCAGCGGACTATGCCGCTTTTAGATCTAGCCAATCACACATAGTGGAGCTTTTCGAAGGAAGTGGGGGCTTCCTTTTGGCGCAGGCAGTTCATGGTGCAGGCAGCCGGGTGAGTTGAGTGACAAAAGGTTTATTGGCAGGTGCTGGGGAAGAAGGGGTATGTATCTCTTGATGGATGGATACTGCATCCTCGTCTGTTTCTAGTTTGTCACTTTTAGAAGTAATTGATTGGTCGCTTACTGAACCCCAAAATCCCAACGTCACCAACATCCTTACCGTATAATGTTCTGTCCACGTACTTCCACCCACGCTCCATCACTAACCCCAACAGTCCGCATGCCTACCCAGGTAGAGGATCATCACTGTGATCAAAACTTCATTTTATCATACGAATTCATTGGGAACATGTCTCTAAATAATATTCAAATTCAAAATCCCATCCATGACACCATATCGCCAGTACCGCCGTATTATGCCCAAAAAATCAATCGTGTCGTCTAACCATCAGGCTTAGTCCAAGCTCTGGATCATGACCTTGATAGCGCCCGATTTGGGGTCTCTAGCCGCCTCGAAAGCACCGAGGGCATCCTCGAGCTTGAACTTGTGTGTCACCAACTTGCTCAGGTCAACAACACCGCTCTCCACCAAGCGGATGGCTCTAGGCCAGGTGTTGCAGTAGCGATACTGCAGCTGGATGTCGACCTCGCGGACGCTGGCGCGCATGAAGGGGAAGCTGATCTCGTTGCGGCCGACACCAATAATGAAGACCTTTCCGCCAAACTTGCACGCCCAGACAGCGGAAGCAATGCTGCTCTCGACACCGGTGCACTCCATAGCGACGGCGGGCTCAACGCCTCCGAAGGACTCGACGATGCGCTTGGCCTCCTCCTCGGCGGTTCCGCGGCCGACCTTGTGGGTGATGGCCGTGGGCACCAGCTCCTTGGCGAAGGCGAGACGTCCATCATCAATATCCGTGACAACCAATGGACAGGCGCCGGCAGCTTTGGCGCAGAGAAGGGTGATGAGACCAATGGGACCTGCACCGCAAACGAGCACCGGATCGCCAAGGCGCACACCGGCACGTTGCATACCGGCGAGGGCGACACTCAGGGGCTCCAACATTGCACCGTTTTCGTATGTCATGTTACCGATCTTGTGGCACCAGACAGCAGGGTGGTTCACATATCGTCGCAGGAGACCGGGGACCGGCGGAGTGGACAGAAACTGGACCTGCTCGCAACCGTTGTAACGACCGGTCAAACAAGGCTCGCAGGCGTTGCAGATAACATTCGGCTCAACGGCGACTCTGTCGCCAACCTTGAGGTGGGTGACGCTGGGGTGAACGGCGAGAATCTCACCGGCGGATTCGTGGCCGAGAATGTGGTCGCCATCGACAATCATAGGTCCGATGCATCCGTGCTTCCAGAAGTGAACGTCGGACCTGTATCTCTCGGTTAGTCTCGTCCTCGTGTCTTGTGGGGGACTTTTGTCTGGCACGAAACTGCTTACCCACAAATACCGGTGCTTCTGATGGCCACAGTGACTTCGCCATGCTGCAAACCCTCGCCAGCCTGGACGGCCTCCAACTTGGGCTCGGCCTCGTTGATCCACAGGTCGTGTGCGGGGTTGGTGTAAACGCCGATGTTGGCCTTGGACACCTTAACGGAGCCGACCGAGGCGGGAGGATCAACAGCTGAAGGAGACATTGTGAAAGCTGGCGGGGTGTCTCTGTGTATGCGAGGAGGGAGAGTGTGCTTGAAAGAATAGTCCAGAAGAGTATTGTTTTACCAGGTAAGCCTGTGATATGATATGGCGGCGGAGTGTGAAACGTGGGTGCGAGATCGACGAGATCGATCGACGAGACGACTGACAGCAACGGCGAGGGCCTGAATCGAGGGTACGGATGAACGGGACAGACGAATCGGACAGAGAGGAGGAAGAATAGAACGGACTGGAGCGCAACGACACACGCCCTGGCAGTCGCCCGGCTGGATATATACCTTGGGGTCACTCGTGGGATTTTTATCTTTATTTTCCTGGGTCGGCCAGCAAGCAGCTGCTTTGGCGGCCCTTCGGTCACCAATTGTTTGAATCCAGCCCCTCATCACCCCTCGAGGCGAATAGTTTGACCCCAGTTCCCCACGTCGTAACGTCACGCAGGGTCGAAGCTTGTTGGCAGGGGGTGGGGCGCCGCCGCGTTGTGGGAATTGTTCGGTCACTGTAAGACCGATTGTTCCTCGTTGAGGCTTCCCGCTCCAATCACGACGACGATCAGTACCCGACATCGACCATTCCCCACGACACGCTCATCCAGGCTCTGCGCTTTCTCTCACCACGACGAAGCGGCACGTCTCGCGCTTTGCAGGCCCAGGCACGCCAGGAGGGGCAACCACTTCGACACACGCGCAACCGGGGATTTTTTTTTTCTTTTGTGTTCACGTGGTTTTCGAACCAGGGGACTTCGTTGGCCGGCCCGTCCGCACTTTTACTGTTTATGCTTGCCCATCGCCTTTCCCTCGTCGTATTGTCGCTTGTTCAGGACCATGGCGCTCCACGAATGACACACCCCCACTCTCCTTCTTCTCCAAACATTCTGGAGGTCGGCCCCGAATACCCCTCCCCTTGGAAGCTCGCCCTAAATACCGGGGAGTCGCAAGCGGCAGTCGCGCTGGCGTGCCTGGGTAGCACCGTGCCGCGGTCCTATACTCTCTCTTTTCGAGATGCGCTTCCGTGGGGAAGCCTTTCGTCGTCTCATACACCCAGACGCGCTCCCGAAAGCTTATTATGTGTTTGGAAATTCGCTGCCTTACCTTATGCCGTTGACATATGACACTCTGCCTGTTTCTCGTCCTGTAAAGCGGGAAACTCTCGTTGGCCGCGGGATCGGGCGATAGCCACGCCATCTTCCCAAAGGACTGATTGATGGACCAGGCTGTTGACACATCCATCCGATACAAGCGCTGCGCGGCGTTGCGGCTTGTGCGTGCTCTGCGGGATTTCTTATCTACCGATTCTTGGTACGGCAGGAATGAAATCCGTCCTCCTTTTCTTCAACCTACATACACACCATCCAATCGCTCCAGACCACTTACCCGCAATCGGGGGAAGAAGTGAGCTATACCCGCCGTCGGGACTAGAATATCCGAGAAGAGAACTCGGACCCCCTCCTCGCCCTTTGTCATGCGCCCAGACTTGACTTTTGGCCCGCCGGGCGACGAGTGGCACTACGACAGACGATCGCGAACCTATGATCTCACGCGGGGCCGGTCGCCGTCCTGGAAAGTCGGCACCAGCCAAGGTCCCGTGGGGACGTCGGTTTCGGTGAACCCTTATAGCACGGCACTTGTGATCGTCGACATGCAGAACTACTTTTTGCATCCCAGCTGTCGAGACCATCCGGCCGGGCTGGCTGCGGTGGAGCAGACCAAGAAGGTCATTGAGAAATGCCGCGAATTAGGCGTTCAGGTACGGCCTGCCATTCCCCCCAGTCGGACGTTCGGGGCAACCGGCAGACGTTATCGCCCGTCTTACCGGAGGACAGGACTGGATAGAAAAGGGGGGGGGGGACGCGGGGAGCGAACTTTTACCGGGGGTTAATGGGGCAACGTACCGCAGCTCACTGTTACATGCGACACAGGTAATTTGGCTAAATTGGGGCCTGACCGACGACGACCTGGCGCGGATGCCCGCCAGCGTCCAGCGTGGCTTCTCGCGATCGCTCATCCTAAGTGAGGAGACTGCCTCGTCCTCCGACGACAAGGGTACCGTCGCTCGTCTCGGCCTCGGCGCGGATCTCGGCGACGGCAAGGGCCGCTGCCTCGTCGAGGGGGAGTGGAATGCCGATATTTACGAGCCGCTGAAGCGGAGCAGTCTCCGCCCGGAGGATGTGCGCTGCAACAAGAATAGAATGTCGGGCATGTGGAGCCCGGAGCAGCCGCTACGGAAGTATCTAGAGCGAACCCGGGAGGAGGTTCTCGATGCCTCCGATGCCTCCCGAGGCTCCGGGAGCGGGAGTGGAATTCGCTCGTTGCTCTTCGCCGGCGTGAATACCGACCAGTGCGTCCTCGGCACGCTGACGGATGCGTACAATGCCGGGTGGGATTGTGTATTGATTGAGGACTGTTGCGGGACCAAGACGCCTGGTGCTCCCGAGGTGTGCCTTGACAATATTTCCGTGAGTCGGCCTTTTCCCCCTCCTCATTGGGTTCAGCACAGATGTGAAGTGCTTGTGATTGCGTGTATAGCAGTGATGGAGGGTGGTCGCTCACTGTGCCCTTGCATAGGGCTCGTACGGGTTCGTCATCTCGACAGAGACGTTTCTCGCCGCAAAGGCTTATTAGAGAGACACTTTTTACGTGTTTAACGACAGTGCGTGTGCCCACCCCTTTTCGTAATGTCCAGGCGAGGTGTTGGTGAGTGAGTTGAGCAACGTACGATGTGCATACCTACCTCGAGTACTGATGCGGCTGTCTTCAAAGCGGAACTTGCTGGCGGGCTTTTTTTTCCCTTCGAAAATATGCGGGACGCTTACCGTGTTTACGAAAAATGCCACCCGATGTCGCGATACGAGACAATGGCCAATTGAAGGGCACGTGGGGCGAAGGTGAGCGTGGAAGAGAGAGGCGGGAGTGTACCCCAGTCAGCACAACACGAATTCTTTGCTAGACCCAGTTCTGAAAATAGATTGTAAAGTTCTCAATTGTCTGTATTCTCCGAGCCTGTGACTGATGGCATGGCTCATGATGATCGGTCAAGACCGTGGATAATTACTCGTCTAGTGTTAATTTCTTCAACATTTCTCATTTGAAAATGACTCTTTCCCCCGGCTTCATCCACCTTCCCTCTGAAGGATATCATCAATCGCTTCTAGTGTAAGCCGGTGCAGCCGTCTCCCGCACGTTGCAACCGAAGGTGGGGGAGGGAGCGGAAATCCGACCAAGTTTTCTCATTCGTCAACAAGAGGAAGGAGAACACATCCCAAGCCGCCGAAGAGATGCCCATGGCTGACCGGGTGTGGTCGTGGTCGTGGGTGTACGTGTCTGTCGGTCCAGCGCCGTCTCGTAAAATCCCGAATAGGAACTCTGCTAATCCCTGATCCTGTAATTCGGAACAAAAGAAAGTGTTCCAATTTGTGGGAAACCAGGTTGCGCCCGTACGCCGTATCCATCTGACTGGGACCCCGTATACAAACGCCGATAAATGCATGCCGATTTTTCTGTAGAGTTGTTGTGCGACAGGGAGGTGTGATGGGAGCGTTCTATTGTCGTCGTCGTGTTAACGTAGAACGCTTTGACGATGTTGGTGCATGTTGTGTTGCCGAGTTGCTGTGTGAGCATGGTCACCCCTTAGCTTTTGGTGAAGGGCTCTGTTCAACCGCTCATGACGACGACATCACCCTTGCAGACGCCGTATGAACAGCAGATCTCGGGGCTGGCTTTGCCGTTGAGGATGTCGTCCCGCTTCCACTATTGAAAAAAAAAAAAAAAAAAGTGTCAGGATCTCTCTGATAATGATGTGGTGGGCGACGAATGATTGGGCATTAACGAACATCGGGACAGGGAAGTGGCCTAGCCTGGACGAAGGCGCCAAGAAATGCAATGGCGAGAACCGTGGAGAACACAGCGGGAAACTGCATTTTAACTTTGGTTATAATGGAGAAAAAGGGGCTGTTTGAGCTTGTTCTTGTGGGTGTTTGTCGGCAAGTATGACTTGGCCCGAGATATGATGAAATTAGGAACCTAATCGTCGCTTTGTTGAAGGCAGCGACAGAGGTTGAAAGTAGCGAGGGACACAGGGAGGAAACGAGAGAGGAGCGAACGACAATAAGGGTGACCGGGAGAGGCCAAGAGACTTCTTTATGAAGTTCAGATACAAACCAGGTAACTCACGGAATGCGGTGGGGTCGAGTCCTGGGTGACGACAGGGCGAAAGGGCGGGAGGAATGCTTTTTAATATGGACAAACACAACAAGATGTACACGGCCTTTGCTGTGATAGGGAAGCCCAACGGAAGCCCGTGGGTGACGGCGTTAATCCCCGCCACACCTTGCAGCTTCTTGCTCTGGCCCGTTAGTCAACGCACATCTCCCGCCCGTAGCAATCATCTGGAAGCCCAGGGAGGCCGGGGGTACAAGGGGCCACCTGTGGTGGAAAGCAATTACAGAGGAAAGGGATAGATACAGACAACATGTGCCTCACGGTTCCTCTCGAATCACGATTTGGCAAGATTTACCTGCATCACTGAGACACGGCAGCTTGAAATTTGCTAGTCGAACTCACGGTTGTGCCTGGTGCCATCAGTGTTATAGCAGCAAAAACCATGTGTTCCGTCCTACAGAGACATAAACCGGGGCGAATTGCCGAGGATCCAAACGAAATCGAGTGCGATGGATCAAGATCTACCAGGCCAGAGCTATTACCGGGGACGTAGGGCGCAAACAGGAAGAGGAGGGGTTGCGGGCGCCGGCTCACTGGACCGTCGACATTCAATCGCTTTGGCTGAGACCCTGTGAAGGGAAGCAAATGCTACTGGCAATTTGTCGCGAACAGATTCTCCAAAGTGGCTAGTGGTCGGCAGGGACCGAGAATGCTGGGAACTTGGGAAACGCTGTCTGTGCCATTAGCACGAGCTGAGGGCGTGGGACTAGGACAGGGGTGGTTTGGCGCTGTTGCGATGGGGAGCTGGGGCATACGAAGATTCTGACAATCCGCGACTTGGGGATGCGATGTGCGGGACTGGAATACAAACTGTGGCTGAGAGGCAACAAGACGTAAGTAAAAGTTGGTGACCAAACTCAAGTATCCGTCGAGTGCTGTGTAAGGAACAAACCAACGGCTGTTGCCGTCGAAGGTGCCCAGCCTTATTGCAGCTAAGAAGCATGTGTTTGGGAAAGCCGTCCATGGGCTTTCCTGATATGTTGATTATGCTGAATATCAGACTATGAAAAACAAGGTTCGCCGTGGCTTGCTCAGTGGGATCACGGGCTTAGATGAGTAGCGTGGCTCTCCCTCGTGTTCAGAGTGCAGCCCTGGTCCAACCGCCGGTTAAATCGCGCAATGGCTGACGGGAGGCTGCTGGATCTTCACTGTCCAACGCCGATTTCGAGATTCTGGCGTCCGTTCGAGTCCTTGCAACGAACGACCTGACCGCGAACGGTAGGCTACCAGCACCGTGAGGGTCAGGATGACGAAAGATGGCCCCCAACATGCTCTCCTTGGCAGTCATCCGGGTTGGTGCAAAAAGAGTTAGCTGCGAAGGCGTGGACGACACTGTTATTAGACAGGTCTGAATCCCACGAGAGTCTGAAGGGAGCGGCCGAACGGTGTTATCGGATGATAGAGTGAAGTCTCACTCCCCTGCATCCCCAGGGTTTCAGGACGATGAGCTCGTAGAACAGCCCGTCACAGTAGTCCTGGGTAGCCTCGACTTGGCCTCTTCCAAACTTCTGTGCTCAAAAGTGTTGCTTCTGCTACCAGCAAGGAGCCTTGACAGCTGCCGGTTTCCCGTGGCACCAGTGCCAACCGTCATTGACCACGCTGTATTCCATCTACCAACCAAAGCCAGACATGTCGGTTTGTGGTTGGGTTGCTTGGTGTGACCAACGTCGTGCCGTTTGCAGAAGGTCGCCCAGTGGAGGTTGTGTGTGTGCGTGTCTGTGTGTGTGTGTGTGTGTCCTCTTGGGTGGTTGGTACAACAATTGTATGGGTACCTAATTCTTCAAATGCCTTCCCAATACAAGACAATTTGTGCGGGAATTGATCAAGATCTTGCAAGATTCCCGGACCTTCTCAGGCATGGTGTTGAAGCAGCCCGTTCAAAACTTGGGGGCCCGTTGGAATGTAAAGAGTTGAGTTGACAGTCTTTCCCTCTTGCCTGTACGGATTGGATAGACACGGCCCGGTCCACGACTCTGCCTGCACGTGCTTCGCCGCGCACTCGGTCCTGATGTGCCGAGTGCACTCACAGAGGTAGGCGGCCCGAGTTGCTCATCAAGTTGTAATGTTGAATGAAAGATGAAGGAGTCAGGACTGGGGGCTGCTCTGCTCTTGGCAAGCAAGCAGCCATCTGGGAAAGGACCGCCATCTTCCACCGCCACGAGTGGCCAAGGTACCTTAGTGCTCGAGTTTGGCCAAGCCACGCTTTCCCTTGTCAAATAGCTAAGCTTTGTGGGCACGAACGCTGGGCCGGGAAGTTGTGGGCGGCCCTTCCCTTTTTTGCGATGCACCACCATTCACGAGTCACGACTCGTTGCCCAGTGCCCGCTACCCGCTGCCCGCTGCCCGCCGCCGCGCCGGGAACTGACGTCTCGGTCTCTTCCCAAGGTAAGTTCCTGCTGCGTCAAGTGTCGATCGAGGCAATCGCGATAAGATCTGGCGGGCACCTCCTATCTCCAGACTTCGGACCCGGGCGCTCTTGTCACTTGTGTCTCTCCCCCATCCGGAGACCCCACGGCCCAAACTTCAACTCCTACGCTAGCCCAAGAGCCCGGAAGCCAATGAAGATTATCACCAATCTCTCGTCTTCTCATGCTTTCGGCCCTGCGGCAGCTAAGGTAGACTCGGCCCCATAGCGGACATACTAGGACCCAACAACCAATGGCAGCCCTTCCAATCCCTTCAATCCCAGGCTATCTTATCGTCCAGACTCGTCGGCCAAGATAAGGCGTCTCCAGCAACCCTCGACTATTCGATTTTACTCACCCGCACTCTCCCACTTTGCCTCCCGCGTTGCAAGTTCACCGACTAACAGATACCTGGGTTGCATAGCTGCCTGGCCAATCCCTGCCTGCTGTCAGCACGGACGGTACCTTACTGCAATCCGTCCACCTTTCCGATGGGACAATACTCCGTACCCTCTGCCAAAGAACCAGCAAAAAAAAAGCAAAAAAAAAAAAAAAAAAAAAAAAAAACCAGAGTTGTCTTGAAGACGCATGTCGAGCCCTGACCTATGGCCTCTGCAGCCATCGCCTGACTGTCTCCATTGTGACCAACAAGTATCCAGAATCATTGTCCATTCAAAATTTGCCATTGGGCAGATCAGCCCGGAACACCCGAACTTTGCCTCCCAATTCTTCTTCTAGCTTACTTCAAGAGCTCCAGTTCACCTTGCCGAACCTATCCCAAATGGTTGTAAAGTGCCGGCCTACTTCCGAACCACACCAGTTCCGCCGTCAAGGACGCGTCGGTGGGCCATCAAAGGCTCCTTCAATGCCATGGTTCTTATCTTGATCGCTCCATGCCCCCCACCTGCACCAGTTTCGCGTCAGGAGTTGGTGTGTGCTCTGCAAAAGCCCACGACTGAGGCTGAATCTAGAATCCAGAAATCTGGGTATTCCGCGGTCGGCCGTCTGTCGCGCCCTGATAAGGGTTCCTCCACTTTCCGCAATGAATATTACTACTCGGCTCGCCACCATGTGTCCTGGCCTGTTCGTGGATCCTTTATCCCCTCACAGTTCACCAGTGCTCGAAGCATCTGCTTGTCCCTGTCGGATTCCCGCCCACGAACGTCCACTGTCCATACTCTTAGTCGACATTTGGGGAAAGCAATGAGCTGTCGATGAACTAGATCCAACCTCATCATCAACGTCACGGGAATCAACACAAGTCGAAAGATGGCTATTTACGAGACCAAGAGCGACATTTCGTCGACTGGCGGGGAGAAGAAGTCGGCAACTGATGTCGAGCGAGGGTTCCTGGGGCATGACCATGCTGTTCACCAGGTGGACTTCGAAACCGGGACCAGCACCTATGCAAGACTGCAAAGGCTGGCGGGAAAGCTTGGTGTCGAGCAGAGAGGCATTGAAAGGGTCCCCGAAGATGAACGAATCAACGATGCCGTCGCCAACGTCGGAACGTTGGTAAGTCCACCCAATGGCTTCGTTCATTCCAGGAAACCATCCTGACCCTTCTATAGTGGTGCTCCGCCAACATGGTCGTCTCGTCTTTTGCCATTGGTGTTTTGGCTATTCCGGTATTCAGTCTCGGCTTTGTTGATACCGCCCTGACCATCATCTTCATCAACTTTCTGGGAGTCATGCCGGTCTGCTTCTTCTCGACTTTTGGCCCCACATTCGGGTTGCGACAAATGGTTCTGTCCCGTTACTGGTTTGGCTTCTACGCTGTCAAGCTGAGTACGTGACCAACTGCCAACCCATCATGGGTTTACTGACCGGTCACACTAGTCGCCATCTTCAATATCCTCGCCTGCCTAGGTTGGTCCGCTGTCAATACCATCGTCGGCGCTCAGCTGTTTCACGCAGTCAACAACAACATGCCTGGGTGGGCCGGTATCATCGTCATCGCCATATCGACTCTCATCATCTGCACTTTCGGCTACCGTATTGTTCACACCTACGAGCGATTCTCCTGGATCCCTTGCGCCATTATCTTCCTGATTGTCCTCGGCGTCTTTGCGCACTCAGGAAAGTTCGACAGCATGCTACCCATGAGCACTGGTCCAGCCGAGGCGGGCTCCGTCCTGTCTTTTTCTGCAAGTGTTTACGGCTTTGCGACGGGTTGGACATCCTACGCTGCCGATTACACGTGCTACTACCCGGCTTCCACCTCCCGGATGAAGGTCTTCCTCGTCACTTTCTGCGGCCTTTTCTTCACCCTGTGCTTCACCGAGTTGCTGGGTGCCGCCGTCATGACTGCCAGCGTTCACGACCCGACTTTTTCCGACGCCTACGCCAACTCTGGAATCGGTGGTCTTCTGGCCGCCGTCCTGGTCACCAAGCTTGGTGGCTTCGGCCAGTTCTGTCTCGTCATCCTCGCCCTCTCAATCATCGCCAACAACTGCCCCAACATTTACTCCGTCTCCCTTTCTCTGCAAGTACTCTCTAGGAAGACCGAACGGATCCCGCGTTTCATTTGGGTCTTCGTTGGTACCGGTGTTTACATCGCCATCAGCATTCCGGGCTACGACCACTTCGAATCTTGGCTTGAGAATTTCATGCTCATCATCGCCTACTGGCTCGCCATCTACGAGGGAGTCAGTCTCACCGACCACGTCGTATTCCGCCGCGGCATCAGCGGGTACGATATCAGCGACTGGGACACGCCGTCACGCCTACCCCCTGGTTTTGCGGCCGTGGCGGCTTTCTTGATGGGCGTCATGGGCGCCGTGCTCGGTATGTCACAAAGTTGGTTCACCGGTCCCATTGGCAAGCTAGCCGGCGGAAGCTTTGGCGGCGACATTGGTTTTGAATTAGCGTTCTCCTTTACGTCAGTTTCCTACATGGTACTGCGTGTGGTTGAGAAGAAGTTTTTCAAACGATAGTCAGCTTAGCACGCAGCGGGCTGATTGAGTGTATAATACGGAGCTATGGGTTGCATATATGTGAAGTGTGGGCGCATATGGTGTTGGGAGGCGTCTGCAGGACTATTGAGTTGCAACAAAGTGTTTCGAGGAAGAATTCCGGTATTATCCAGTATCTCCGAGGAATGATTGCTCCATATGAGTCAATGATAATAAAAGTTTCACACCGAGATTTCGAAGAAGAAAAAAACCCCTCTACGAACACATCAACAAGAGTGTCGTTGACGACGGTAGTGTGCCAACTAATCTTCCATTTAGTTTCCGGAACCTTAAGTTTAGCCACATAATTGTGGATCAATATCTGGGAGCCCATGTGAGAATGGATTTCAATGATGAGCACGCACCCACGTGTGGACTCGATCAGAAATCAGACTTTGCGCTGCGCCATCTTACACAGCTCTCGAATGGAGCGAACTTGCTGCGGTTGGACTACAATCACCACCACCAGGCCGGATTCTTCTGAATGCGCCGGTGATTGTTGGTGCGTTTGCTCGGCGTAATTTCTGACATCAATATCGGAGTACAAATCTCGGAGCTGCCAGTGTCCACAGGAGAGGGTGAACATTAAGTAACTTTGAGATGTCCTGGAAACTTTCTTTCTTTCATATCTGCCTGAAGGGGAGCTTCGTGTTGACGCTGATGGCTGCTGCATTCTTTCCATGCCTAGAGACTGTTTTTGGTCACAAATGTGGCTTCCTGGGACAAAAAGGAGCCATGTTGATGACTGAGAGTACTTCTCATCAACGAGCCAAGGTGCCTAAGAATACCAGGTATCACAAACTGTACTCGGTGAAAGAGAGAGCATGATGTGAAGCCTACCTAAGTTCATCGGAGTGGGCACGTTCGACTTCCTCTAGACGTTCATCATAGAGATTTGAGACCTTGTGAGTTATGAAAACGACATTTCTCGATAGTACGCCAAGTCCGGTATTTCCCCATTGCTGGGTCTTGGTCTCCTGCGAAGCAATGATATGATTATTGGAGAGTGTCTTGAAAGTTTGTCTCCAGAAAGCGAGAAGATTACCTAAGATATATGTCCGATTTTCATCTTGTCCATCCCAAGCTGAAAGGACTTGCCACGATTAAGAGGCAAGGTGAGACAAGATCATTATGACGATGATTCCGATTTTCTAGAAAGATGGAGAAGAGAAGAAGAAGAAGAAGAAGAAGAAGAAGAAAAAAATATAACCCTCTCACTGGCAGTTGCGGGAGTCGAACTACCGGCGAAGCCGATGGTCCTCAACCACAAAGCTGCCAGATGAGCGGGTAACCCCAGGAAGCTGCACGCACAACCACTCAGCCAACTGCACCGCAGTCGGGAGGTCTTGCGCGCTGCAGGCCCCGGGGTTGAGAGAATCAGAGAGTTGAGCAGCCCAAGTAGGAACGGAAAATGGCTTTGGGCCTTGGCTGGAGAGAATGACCTGGATGAGGGCGAACCTGTGTGGACGGTGGCTGGGTATCTTCCATGAGCCCATGAGGAGCTCCGAAAGGTGCTCATACACGACCTAACCGTTTTCCACACCAGGGTCATCGGTGCACTGGGGAGCGTGGTGTTTGCAATCTGGCTCATATCTGGCTTTCTGCACCAGGGCAGCAATAAGAATAAGAGACCGCGGCATCAAAGCTTCTTGGCATACGAGCGGGCCATGAAGCTGTTGGAGGGAGACGGTCCCATGAAGCTGCCTTTTTACAGTCTCTCTACGGAACTGCCGAAGTGCTGCAAAGACGAGCAGGAGACGCCGTCTGATAACTTAATTGGCCATCGAACGCTTTATCCAAAGGGTGGGGAGGTCCCAATCATGTCTGGTGCCGCTGGTGTTTCTCTGAGCCTCGTTGAATCGACGTTGGATGAGTGGGCGAGGCCTAAAGTAAAAGTCAAGTTCTGAGAAGCGTAGAGCGACTATTGTATGGGAAATGAATGCAGTTTTTTTACGGATTCAAATCAAAGCCTTCATTTATATTTCCAGAAAAAGTGAAAATTACGTCCTTGAGTGAGCCTTAGGAAGAACCAAAAACGAGACAAGCTTTTGATGGCTGGCATAATGATTCATACAAGGTGATTACGAAAGTGTGGAAGACCTAGGCTGGACTTCTCCCTCCTTTAGAAGTAATTCGTTAATATGAAATATTATAACTACCAGTGAGGAACAGAAAAAAAATGACGCAGCATAATGCTACAGGAATTTCAATAACACATCTCTTCTACACCTCCCTAGAGGTCCTCCGTGAATTGGACCCGAACCTCCTAGGGTGCCTCAACGAAGTGAGCTCCAGTCCTTGAAACCCCCTAGCTATTGACCACTCAAGAGTCCAGTCCATTTCGCTCATCTATCACGAACCATAGGCCAACACGTTCGAGCCGGGATGGGAAGCATCCTTCTTCGGCGTCAAGTACAACCGCCTTCGCTCGCTGAAGGCCCGCTACCATCCCAACGACTTGCTTTGGTGCCCTACCTGTGTTGATAACGAGAAGTAGGCTCAGCAAGAGGACAGGACCTTGTGCAGAGCCTCCCGGCTGCTGTAGGGTTTAAAAAGGGGGTGGACTAGTGAAGCCCTCGATATTTCTCGAACCCGGCGATCGCTTGCAGTTGGCTACAGTGGGACACATGAGGTGGAACCAAAACCAAGCCGCAACAATAGTGCTCTACGTGTATTATTCTGTTTCCCTGTTACGTGATTACGGGACAGCGCAGCATAATTAGTATCAGTCGCCCTATAGCTTTTTTTTCTCAGCGCGATCGCTCCCACCAAGCTAGCCTTGAATCAGCGGTCGAGGAGTGGCAGTTGAGTCTTTGGCTAGTATTCTGCTTTCGCTACTTATTCGTTCTCTGACGACCGAAAACAGGTGTTGGAACAGACTTGAAGTCTAACGGGAACAAGACGGTGATTCGCCAAAATGTTGACTAGGTCTGCATTTGAAAATGTCAGCTCGCGCCAGCTTCAACGACCTTGATTTTCACAATCAAACCACATTGAAAGAATGATATGTGCAGAGCCTTGATATATGCAAGTACGTATATTGGGTTGGACAATGCATTTGTCCCAGTAAGGCGTTTCCAAGCATCCCGTCCGCGGCAAGAGATATGTATGCTTTGTACTCCTGAATACGCCGGAAAAAATGTAGCTCCAAGAAGATGCCGCCATCACCCATAACCAAGCTCCGTATGACTGACGAGCCAGTCACCTATATGCTTTCTCTGAATGCAAAATGCGACCTGAATTACCTCCCCAACATCCTTCCTCATCCATCATAGCATGCTTCGCAGCCGCAGAGCAGCGCTCACTTAATATTCGCCCGCGCTGCCGCAGTCCTGCTCGATGCGTCATGGTTGCTTTTCATTGTCAAGACTCCTCGTCAGATGAACGGAATCGAGCTGGAAGTTTTCTCTGCCTAGAACCTCGTTTGAGACCAACAATATCGTCGTCGTCGTCGTCGTCGTCATCATCATCGGAGTCTGAGCCAGCGCCAGGCAGCTTAAAGCTGGACTCGCTGTCATTCACCTCCAGAGGTCCCCAGGCCTTCTTCTGCATCCGCCTCCGTGTGGATGGACTGAGAGTGAGAGGCTCCTCGTCCGAGTCCACGACAGCGTCCGATTCGGTAGGCAACCGACGCGCTCTGGACACAGAGGTACGGCCGGCCCGAGAAGCCCCACGAGCTGTGATAGTATTCCCTTCAGCCCCCCGTCGACCTCTGGACCGCGAAGGAGTCGCGTCGATCTCTGCTTCATCTTCGTCCATGTCCATCGGATCCTCGACCGACTGACTGAGGACAGACGTTGTAAACTTGCGGCCCCGAGCAGACCTTGATGGCTGGCCTAAGTCAACCGAAATCGTGCCACCCTCCGCCTCGGGTTTCCGGGTGGTGAGCGGACTAGCGCGAATCTCATTCTCAACGTGCTCTACCTCTGGTAGCTTTTCCACGGTAGGGCTCGGCGGACGAGGATTTTTCGGCGGACGACCGCGCTTCTTCTTCGGGGGCGGCGTATCGTTTGGTGGCTTCTCGGGCTTTCCCAAAGTCTTCGTCAGGGGTTGGGAATTACCAACATCGTGTGAACTACCAGGACGTCCCCGTCCACGCTTGCGAGGTGTCGTTCTCGTGGAATCATCTGCCTCTGAGTCCGATGGTATGATGGAACCCATCGATCTCACCCGTTGCATTCCACTTCGGCGACGAGATACAGCTGGTCGCTTCCCCTTGCTTCGCCCTTCGGCATTTTCTTCCGATTCCAACGACGGATGGAAGTCCTCATCCTCATCATCGCTCTTAGCGACGCGCTTTCGCTTCCGGCTCGCAATCGGCGCCGCGTCAATGTCAGCTAAAGCCTCGTAATCGTCTATCGTCACCTGTGGCGCCTCTTTTCGAGCTCCCGTGCGAACGCTTTTCGCAATTTTTGCCGTGGCGAGTTTCTGCGTGGCTGACTTTTGCGAGCCATTGACTGCTTTTCGGCGGCCGCCCCGGCCGCGTTTGACCGGCATTACTCCTTCTTCCGCCCCCGACTCTGCGTCTCCCTCAATGTCAGCCTTCTCCTTGATCATCTTCTTAGTAAGATTAGGAAAGTTTTCGCCGTAGTTGAAAAAAAGCTCCTCGCCAGCCTTGATGTTGCGAGTTGCTGAAAACCGGATACGATATTCGCCATTGACGTAGAGAATGCCCGGCTGAACATTGGCATTTTCTACGGCGTGGTTGATGTAGCGACTGAGGTTGCCATAGATAGCTGCGTCGACCCAGATGCCTTCGTAATCCAAGAGACTAAACACGTATGAGGTACTCTTCTCTACAGAGAAAGCTTCCCCGCGTCGCGCCTCTCTTCTGACTCCCTCGTCCGCAACGATGAGCTCGCCTGTGTACTCAATTACAAATTCGTCCTGCGCGATATCTTCTGCAGTAAAGAGACCGTACCCGCAGCCTTCCAATTGACTCTTGCCGAGGACAACGGCTTTGCTGACACCTCGTTGGATGGCGGTATTCTGGCAACCCGTCTGAAAGAGCGCGTCGTCGAGTCGGTTTTCAGGATCCGCGCGCTCAACAGCACCGCAAGTTCCGCAGAGATCGGGATCGCATTCGCGATTCAACTGTACGCAAATGCAAGGCCGGCCCTCTTTCTGTTTCTGTAGACACGTTTTGCCGCTGCCATGGCAGCCGCAACCTGTGAATTTCCAAGCGCAGCACTCCTCCGTGCAACGGCAGAAGCGCTCACACAAAATATCGTTCAGAGCACAAGGGCAGTCGTTCTCTTTCGAGCAAGGGCCATCATGATGACATGGATCGTTGGACGGGCGAACCTTGGTGTCGTGGGAGTTGGTCTCTGCTTGCCAGTCGCCCATGAGCATTTTCCTCTTGCGATCGTACCAGGGAAAGTTCTTGACTCTCGGCTGGTCGATCGTCTCAATGGGTGGAAGCCTGATATCCAGAAATTGCAGGTGGCTATGTACATCCCGACAGTCTCTATTGAGAATCTCAGCAGTAGCGCACTGTGCCTTAACTCGGACCTTGTTATGATCCAGGATCGTGAACAGGCTGCGCAGTAAGAAGGTCTCATCTTTGGTCCATGGCTTCACCTGAGCATCAGCACTGCCGGTACCATAAATCCGGTAGCACTGTCTTTGACATGGTGGGGGAGGACCCGGCTGCTCTACTGGATCGCTAGAGGAGATAATGCGGTTGGCTGAAAACATACGCCCATACATGCCAATGCAATCCATGGAGAAGTTGCGCTTGTGGTTTTCGATGCTGTAATCCCCATGCTCGCACGAATTGCTGTAGCATATGAGACAACCCATAACCGTATGAGTTTCAATCCATGACTCCAAAGAGTCCACTTTTTCGTTGTCGTCTTGACCACCTTTGGCTGTCTTCTTTGATTCGACAATCTCATCGACGGACTTATCGAGCTTTAGAACGTCACGGAGGAGGATCTCCTTTCCCTTGGGAGCGTCATGGTAAAAGACTTGGTCAAAAGCCTCGGTGAACACCCTTGCAGCTTTCAAAGCTCTCGGCGTCGTCGCGGCCAAGTTGTCGTCGCTGTGCAGGTTGACCAAACTCGTCTTTTGCTGTGGCGTGATGGCATCATCGGAATTAGAGCTCGCCATGTGGCGAATCAAGGTAGTTCGATTGCAGTTGTCGATGGCGAGCTTTCTGAGCCAAGAGTCCAAAAAAAGTGACAGCGTTGCGGTTCTTTCCTTCTTAATAGTCCGGGCGACCCGTTGGTCACGACTACCGAGAGTCTCGAAACCACAGCTTTTGTCCATTCTCTCCAGCTCACCGAGCCAGAGATTGTAGTCTCGCTCCTCGTCAGGGTCGAGGTCTCGAATGACGGGCACGAACTTCAGCATTGAGTTGGGAGACAGGACGTTCTTGATGATTTCCGTGTGATGGAAACGATACTTGGGCACGGCAGGCTTATTGGACTTGACGCACACTGGGAGGTAGTGCGTAGCTCTCAGAGTGTCCACCTTTCTCCCGCGAAAATGTTGCTTGGAAAAGGTCAGTCACGTGCATACGTTGAAAACAGTAAAGTATTCGGTATGCCCGAAAAAACAATGATTCGACTCACTTTGGCCCGGATCGTCATGGTCGTACCCGTCTGCTCAGCATCAGCTGGGATCAGTTTGACATCTGCAAAGTAATCAACGCCAGTCTTGACGCGCGTTTCGACAGGTTTCGTAGACCTGAGGGCGTAAAGACACAGTTGCGAATGCACATTGCTGATATCGGCTGAGTAACTCCGCAGCGAAGTGATGATTTGCCGGACATCAGAGGTGTCCTTTTTCGGGGTCTGCTTCTTGGAAATGGCGGCATGCTTGGGAGACTGATGGCTCGAGGGGCGCGTAGATGACGGCGGTGTCACCTGCTGAGGCGTCTTCAACGGCGCGTCAAGTCGGGGTGGTCGAGGCATCTCGGCGTTCAGACCGTCGTCGAGATCGATTGAAGAGACCGAAGGTTGAATCGAGACAGGCGGTGGCGAAGGATCCAAAACTGAGGCTGCATTGCTGGAGGCGGCGGTTGAACCACCGCTCGGGTCCGAAACGCTATGCGCAAGGCCCAGAGGAAAACCCGGAGGGCCTTGACCGTTCTCAACCTTGGTTCTGCCGGGTGTCGCACGATCGGCATCCAATTGGTGATGAATAGAAGATCGGGATACGGGACTTGAGTTGAGGGTCAAATCGATTATATCGATCTTTCTCCTTGACTCTTCTTGATTTCGGAACGGAGGCTCTGCCTGAGTGAGGTTCATGTAGTGGGACGAGGCGGGCTCGGTGTTGAGTGGGAGGAATCTGGCGTAGTCGATGTAGGGACCTTTTCGTGAAGCATGGTCCCGGTCGGACCCAGCGCGGAAGGGGGACATGTCGAAGGACAGTGGTTGAGGCAGGGGCGCAGAGAAAGCGACAGTGGCGGCGCCTTCTTCCCCCGTCTCTGATGACTGCTATGTCCTCCTCACTTGCGTGCGCAAACACAGACAAAGACACGGTCTCTCACCATGCCCTCTTTCCCCGTTGTCAGCGTAAGCAAAGCCTGTAAACATTGACTACGGAAGTACCATGCTAGGCCGCCACAAAATAAGCCGCAGATATTTTCTGGTCAAAATAGGGGGATGATGGTTGGCGGCGATAAAAAAGGGAGGGGTAATCCACGAAAGTCACGAAAGTGGACTTGGTGAGATGAGGTTGATGATGAGAGAAGATGAGATATTGTGAGACGCGTTGGTGAACTGCGAGGCTAAGCGCGTTCATGAAAGGAAAGAGCTGGAGGGAGAGATTGCAAGGCACTAGGCCCAAACTGGAGCGGGGAGCAGGGAGCAGGGATTGCGCTTTCGAGCTGTTCACAGTCCCGACTCAGATAATTCTTTGGCTCCTTCTTTTTCCGTGCCTCGCAGAGTGTGGCTAGGAATCTTTAGATAGCCCTGCTTTTTGCCGATTGTCAAATATCATATGTCGACTCTTTTAGACTTTTATTTCAAACATTCGTTGAGTTCCATTTCTTGTCCAATTCTTGCCTTGATATGTTGCATTGGACCTGGCCATGTTTTTGTTCCCACGCCGGCTATCTACCATACCGGATAAGTAAGATACCTTATTTTGTATTGGATGCCTTAAAGCGTCTTCCTACCTTACGTATTATATTGTCTTGTTATCAGCGCATGTTGCTTACTCTTTGTGTCTGGAGCAAGCTTGTCAAGTTTGGGGGCCGACACACAACGCAACCGTGCACAACAGGACTCTGACAGCCCCGAGCTCCTGAGTACCAATATCCGCCTGGGTTGGGTGTCTTGTAAAGATAGTCGAAACGCTGCTACTATACAGCTAGTTTCTGTCAGCGACAGCCTTGTCTGTATAAGGTTGATAAGGCAACCTATTAGCCCGCTAGACAAATGCGATAGATATCAAAGGCTTGCGCATCTGCAACTCTGTCAATTCGATTCAACCGAGACAACTAGCATACATACGACAAGCTGCCGAGTTGCACGGCTGCCTATACCCGGCCAGCACGAGCCCATCCCGTGACTAGGTAGGCAAATTACGCTGCCGCGCATTGCGGAGTCCAACGCTCAACAGCGTCAACCCCCGGCGATCACGCGATTGACAGAGAAAATCTGATACCATTGTCCCGCAGCCTGTCTGTACTCTCAAATACAGCGGAAACAAAATATCCTAGCTCATCTCGACTTGACTGGTTGTAAGATAGACCAACTGGCAATTCAAAGAGCGGAGCTATTGACCAAGCAGAGAGACGGCCAAGTTTTCGATCTGTTCATTTCTGTATCATTCATGTCATTTGGACGACTGTGGGTAGTTCAAGTTTATGAATGTTAATTGTGACAAGTTGATCACATTGCAATGCCTTGTTGTCGAGTTAGGTACTGGAAGCTAGGTGCGAAACCAAAGCACGAGATATTCTTATTGCAACAATAAAGCAAGTGAGTGATTGTTGGATGTGTCTTTGGTATGAGTACGGACAGTAGAGGCATTTTATTGACAATGAGAATTTCGAAGACAAGTATGCCGGCGCTCTAGCTGTGCTTGATACCTTAGGTAAGCTGGTAAGGTATCGAACATCCCTGGTGCTGAGTCATGACTAGCATATAACCCATGGCAACCGGATAGGATTAATCCGGCCTCGCCGCCGCAAAAACAGATGAGGTTGGTGTCTTGGGGTTGAAAGAACGGACCAACAGGAGAGGGCGGCGCTAAAGAATGGTTCGCGCAGTCAAAAGGAATCGATGAAATCATCGCACATTACATGGCCAAGCACAGTCGGCCTAGCCTCCAAATACCTGGAGAAGGCCGTGCCGAACCGGACGGCATCTGGCGCTAGCATCCCAAACCTTGGACGACAATTTGATTTGGCGAGTCCACTGGAGGGACGGCGAGTTTCGGAGAGTTTCGAGGAGGATTTGGTCGCGTCTCGTGGAATGCCTTGGGCAGCTGCCTTGGGCAAATTGTCGCCCACAAGCCAAGGTAGTTCCAGTACGGTGAGCCAAGGATAACCTTCAGGCGAACACTTGGGCATTATTGTGTGAAGACTCGGGGCAGTGACGGAAACTGGGATCTGATCGTCCCTCTATCCGTACGAAATACCCAGATGGCAGTCAAAGGTTAAAAGCTAAGATGGACCAACCCATGATCCATCCCAGCCCACCTGCGTGCTGCTCAATTCAATAGTCAACCCCCGTCGGGACCTGCAGATGGCCTGGTTACAGGAGCAGATAGGCATGGGTTGATGGGGCTCTCTTGCAGCATGCGTCGAAGCTTGCTGTCTTTCTCATCCCAACTTCCCAAGTCGGTCCCCTAGAGCCCGGCCGTCCGTTTCATGAATCCACATTGAGCGAAGGGTTCGTAGAGACGGCGCCATCCCGGAGGTCGATCATCATGGCTGTGCGAGGGAAATTCAAATGGGAGATTTCTGGCTCCTTCCCAACCATGGTATGCATGGGTTGCTCAGGTAAGGTCCCTCTGCACCTTTCAGCTAAGGTAGGCTGGGCTAGACCGCAAAGACGGGTGACATTGGCTAGAGCTTGGGAGTTTGTAGCTTTTGACGACAATATGGCGCTGGATTCAGCTGAAATACGTACGAATACACACCGTCAGTACCTCTGATGTGGGGCGGTAGTCTTGTATCCGCGCAGGCCTGCAGGCACCAGGTTAGCTGGGTGACGCTGCGAACAACGCCAAAAGGTCGAGCTAAAGACACAGATGACGTCGTCAGCGCGAAAGAGGCACCGGCACGCACACACTCCCCGCCGACCGTCACCTCTCTCTGCTGTGTTGCCCTTCCGTACGCCTGCGCGAACCTTGTCTTGTCCGTCCCGTCCTGTCTCTGTCTCGTCCAGCCCACCACAAAGTCCCGTCTCCTCCGCAACAACCTCCTTAGGTAGACCACACCACTGGACTCTTTCTGGCTCCTACATATAAACACCCGGCCTCGCGTCACCCCCAATCTTTCTGACACGACCTCCCTTTGATCTCTTCCCACCAATACCTTCTATCACACCCCGCGATACTTCCCAGCGCATCACTGCATTGAAGCTTTGCTGTCGTCGATATCCAAATCGATCGTCTTCAACGAGTTCATACCGCCAACGTCTTCTTACTCTCGCCATCGCTGTCAGTCAACGTCACCCGCCGACATCATGCATCGCACGTATTCCATGCGCCAGTCGAGGGCGCCCACCGCTTCGCAGATCCAGGTATGCGCCCAACTTCACAACGACCTTCTCCTTCTTACTGTTAAATGGCGTGATGCTCATTGTCTTTGTAGAACCCACCCCCGCCGCCTTCCTCCACCAAGTCTGGTCGTCTGTTCAAGGGCGGATTTGGTAAGTACTCTCTACTCTCCCTGGCGTCGGCCGCGCCGTGTCATTGGCCCTGCTATATCATCCTGCCAATCGAGGGGTACTTTGGGCTAATAAGACCGTCCAGGCCATGCCCTCCGCCACAAATCTGCTGGTGCATTCGGCCCAGACCTCGCAAAGAAATTGTCCCAGCTGGTGAAGATGGAGAAGAATGTCATGCGCAGTCTCGAGCAGGTAGCAAGAGAGCGCATGGAGGTTGCTGTAAGCCGTCCGAAAGTACCACCATCTCCCAATACAGCTGCTGAATTCAATTGCCTAGCAACAACTATCCATCTGGGGAGAGGCTTGCGACGAGGATGTATCCGACGTAACCGACAAGCTCGGAGTTCTGCTCTACGAAATCGGCGAACTCGAAGATCAATACGTCGACCGATATGACCAATACCGTGTGACCATCAAGAGCATTCGCAATATTGAGGCTTCGGTTCAACCTAGTCGAGACCGTAAGCTACCCTGTTGCTGATATTGTGCAACACCATTACCTGACTGACTCAAACTTCAGGCAAGCAAAAAATCACCGATCAGATCGCTCAGCTAAAGTACAAGGAGCCCAACTCCCCCAAGATTGTTGTTCTTGAGCAGGAGTTGGTGCGAGCCGAGGCCGAATCGCTGGTCGCAGAAGCTCAGCTGTCCAACATCACACGGGAGAAGATCAAGGCTGCCTATACCTACCAATTCGACGCATTGAGAGAGCACTGCGAAAAGGTTGCCATTGTCGCCGGCTACGGAAAGCACCTGCTCGAGCTCATTGACGACACCCCCGTCACTCCTGGAGAGACGCGTGCAGCCTATGACGGATATGAGGCTAGCAAAGCCATCATTCAGGATTGCGAGGATGCTTTGACCAACTGGGTCACTTCCCAAGCTGCTGTGTCTTCCAAGTTGTCAACTCGGGCACGCACACTGTCAACGCGCCGCAGAAATAACATCAGGGCACGTGCTGAGGGTGGTCATGACCTTTCGGGCCAAGATGTCCCGTTGAACGACGACTCTTCGTGGACCCGGGCCCATAACAAAGAAACCGAGTACAGCGATGAAGACGAAGAGGAGGACGATGTCCACCATTCCGCCACTGGTACTGATGACGGTCTGAATGGCGAGACCAGAGGCCGTCAACACGAAAGTATTGTCGCATAAAGATAGGACCGGGTGTATCTGAACTTGCCATAGCCCTCCTGCTGTTGGTATTGGACGGTGTTGAGCACAAAGTTCGTAATGGCAGTAATGTTCAGGTTTTGGCAAAAACCAAGGAAAGCGATTAGTACAGGTGTTTACGGATTGGTGCCTCGGTAATCTAGTCGAGGTCGACTTGCGACGGTGAAATGGGATGGAATTGTATGGTTAAAAATAGTGCGTTGGTTTTATTTTTTAAAGTCTAGTCTGTTGCACCCAAACGAGCAATTGCTCCGTACTGTTTGATATTCTATGATGTATGCATGCTTCTTCGCCAGCACTATTCATATCTCACCAAGCACCCGGCCTAATCGCTCAAAGCAGTCAACGAGCTTCAAGATCGGCATAAGGGTGCCGCCCTCCGATCTGACTTGTGAACTCTTCCACCTCAATCTTCACAATGTACTGTCCAGGGACCACGACCAAGCCCAGATACCGGGACGTCATGTCCATGGTGACAGAAGCGTTTCCTTCTGTAGCCTTCTTGGCCGCTTCAGCCCGCCGCTGCGCTGATGGCTGGCGGTATTCGTAGGTGTGAGCCAGCACGACATTGCGATCCTGTCAATTCAAGATTGGGCTTTGGTTAGCGAAACGATCTTGACAAGGAGGGGGGTTAGGTTTGGAGGGGGGCTTATTCACCGGATCGGTACACTTGAATTGGCCGAGGAACATGCGGCCATCAGTGGCCAGGACGCGCAGATTCTTGTTGAGCAGCGAAGTCAGGAAATCTCTTCCCTCCTCTTTGTCCATGGCGACTCGTTGTCGGCAATTTTGGACATTGCTTTCCGGGTGTCGTGAAGAATGAAGGTTCTTAGCAAGACAGATGGCGCATAGACGGCGCTGTTGCGGACAGTCCCTGGACCATGATTGCTAGCGGACGAGGTTCGTGTCCCACTACTTACGTCTGTACCCAATCGATAAGGACCGATAAGGATCGATAACGACGCCCCTAGGTAGTGGAGGCAAGCGCGTCATGACCTCGAGCTCCCATGTCAAATGGCTTACAGGCAGCTGCGGTCGGTCGCCTTCATTCTTTACAAACTTGTAACCTCGTTTACTTGCCACGATCGCCACACCGACATCTGCGCTGTTTCGATTTGACTAGGACGTATTGCGCTACTTTTACAATGCGATATACACTTTTTGTATGAGGAGAGTGCTTCTCGCAGCGGCAGATACCCTCCCAATCCGACCCCTCCGTGAACTCCTAATCACGCTGCCGGCCCTCCACTCCCGCCGACATCATGGGTGTGAACGGCCTCTGGACCGTTGTGCAGCCCTGCGCGCGCCCGACGAACCTCGCGACACTCAATCGAAAGCGCCTCGCTGTCGATGCTTCCATCTGGATCTACCAATTCCTAAAGGCAGTGCGTGACAAGGAAGGCAATGCGCTGCGCAACTCCCACGTCGTTGGCTTCTTTCGCCGCATCTGCAAGCTCTTGTGGTTCGGCATCAAGCCCGTCTTCGTCTTTGACGGCGGCGCTCCCGTACTCAAGCGCCAGACAATTCAAGGCCGCAAGCAGCGGCGCGAGGGCCGGAGGGAGGATGCCGTTCGCACAGCTGGGAAACTGCTGGCGGTACAGATGCAGCGGATTGCGGAGGAAGAGGAGGAAAAGAGGAAGCGCGATGCGGATCGAGGCATTCAACGAGAACGAGAGGAGCCACAGGAGGATATACCCGATATGGACAAGATTATATATGTTGACGAGGTCGGTATGTCGCAGCAAGAACGTCAAAAGACAAGGAAGTTTTTTAAGCAGGATGCATATCACTTGCCCGACATGGATGGCGACATTGCGTCCATGGCAAAGGCGGATGATCCCAGAATCATGAGTATTGAAGAGTTGGAAGAATACGCTCGACAGTTCCACAACGGCGAAGACATCAATCTCTATGATTTCAGCAAGATCGACTTTGACGGCGAATTCTTTCAAAGCTTGCCTGCGGCAGACAGATACAACATTCTCAATGCGGCGAGACTGCGCAGTCGCTTGAGGATGGGCCTGAGCAAGGAGCAGCTTGACGAGATGTTTCCGGATCGCATGGCTTTTTCGAGATTTCAGATCGAAAGAGTGCGCGAGAGAAACAACTTGACCCAGCGCCTCATGAAGGAAGCCGGCATGACTGGTCTTGATCTCACTCTTAATGGTGGCGGGAGAATCGCCGGCGAGAAGGACAGGGAGTATATCCTAGTGAAGAACGACGGCGCAGAAGGTGGCTGGGCCTTGGGAGTCGTGAGCAAAGAAAAAGATCTCGGCGAAGCTCACAAGCCTATTGACGTCGATGCTTTGGACTTCCAGTTCCAGGAAAAAGACAAGGTTGAAGCATCTGAAGATGAAGAAGATTTTGAAGATGTTCCAGTCGAGGGCCTGAATCGGCTGCCCAAGATGTCTTCCAGTGCAGCGGCGCAGGCATCTCGGCAAGCAGCTCTCCAGAGACAACGTTTATATGGCAATCGGGGAAGCAGCGAGGTCAATGACTTATTTGAAGAGGAGGAAGAAAGTCTTTTCGTTGATGGTGATTTGCCCGAAGCTCATGTTAGAAACTCAGCCCAAAAACAAGACGACGAGGCAATGCACCCAGAAGAAGAAGACGACATCAATCGGGCCATCGCCATGTCACTGCAAAACCAGCACGGCGAAGCTGCTGAAAAGCCCGAAGAAGATGAACTGTTTGAAGATGTGGAATTGGAAGCGCCTGAATGGAAACAACAGGCTGTGAAAGCACCCAAGCCGATTGCCGCAAGGAGCGGTCGCATGGTGGCCCACATTGTCAACAATAGGTCTACCGCCGCCGTGCCTAGGAAACGCGCCAACAGTGCTAGCAGTAGCGACGGCGAGATGGACCTGCAAGCAGCTTTGAAAGCGTCTCGGCAGAAGAAACGAGTGCTGCCAAAGCCTGCGGTGCCTAATGTCAAGAACCCTTTCGATGGTCCGCTGCCATTCCCTAAACTCGCATGGGGCCCTTCTCTGTTCTCCATGAAAGCTCAGTCAAAGAAGCCCGAAGGAGCAAACGCCCCGAAACAGCCTGCGCAAAGTATGCAGGAACCGGCAGGCATAGATGACGATGCCGGGTTTGGTGGCGGATTTCTCACTGAAGGCGCCGAAGAGGAGGCTGCTGGCGATGATGATAATGAAGGCGGCTTTGAAAACGGGCTAGATGAAGACCGCCCCAAGCCACTACCTCCGTGGATGGTGGACAATAAAGACATCCGAGAGTCGATCAAGCAACAACGGCAAGTGGAGAGCGAGATCAATACAGAGGATAGAGAGGCTGCGCTGGAGGAGGAACGGAGGTTTGAGCGTCAACGGCAAAATCAGCTTATCGAGATTCAGTCCTCTGACGACGAAGACGATGACATTGAGATCCTCGACGCGCCTCCATCTCCGAAGCAGGCTGCGTCACAGGAGGATATCACGTTCCTAGACGAACCCAGTCCCACCGAAGTTGCCCCATACGCTGAGATCGAGTCTAAGAAGAAAGAAGAAACGATGACTACACTGTCAAAAAAGGCAGATGCAACGTCACGTAAGTCATCGTTGTCTCCTGAGGTCGAATTCCAAGACGTTCAGCCTGAAGAAGCCGATGAAGACATGGAGATCACGGTCACAGCAATCCCTGACTCCCCCGAGCCAAACATGGAAGATGTCGAGCCACGACGTCCCGATTCTCCTCCGGAACCAGCAATGGAAGATGTTACTATCTACGTAGAAGAGCCGAAGCCCGCCGAAGAAGAACACGAGCTTACTTTCGAGGAACTCATGGGCGGGCCTACGCTTGATGATCCCAAAACAGCCGGCGATATAGTACAACATGCCGAAGCCGCCGTCTTCAACGAAAGCGACGATGAGTTCAGCGACCCGGAAGACGAGGAGCTGTTCGCCAACCTGGCGCAGGAAGCCGAGGAGCACGCCCGCTTCGCCAGCGAGTTGAACAACAAGTCGGAGCAAGAGAACAAAGAGGCGTACGAAAGGGAACTCAAGGCGCTGCGCACGCAGCAGAAGAAGGACCGTCGCGACGCCGACGAGGTCACGCAGGTCATGGTTACCGAGTGCCAGGCTCTCCTCCGGCTGTTCGGCATCCCCTACATCACCGCGCCAATGGAGGCGGAAGCGCAGTGTGCGGAGCTGGTGCGTCTGGGCCTGGTGGATGGCATCGTCACCGACGACTCAGATTGCTTCCTCTTTGGCGGCACGCGCATCTACAAAAACATGTTCAATAGCAACAAGTTTGTCGAGTGCTACCTCGGCTCGGATCTCGAAAAGGAACTCTCGCTCTCTCGCGAGCAGCTCATCGCCATTGCCCAGCTCTTGGGATCCGATTACACGGAGGGCTTGCCCGGCGTCGGTCCCGTGACGGCCGTAGAAATCCTCTCCGAGTTCCCCGGTAAGGACGGTCTCGCCAAGTTCAAGGAGTGGTGGGCGGACGTGCAGATGAACAACCGGCCCAAGGAGGCCGACGCGGGGTCGCCGTTCCGCCGCAAGTTCCGCAAGTCGCAGGGCACGAAACTATTCCTCCCGGCGGGATTCCCCAACCCGGCTGTCACGGACGCCTACGTCCGTCCGGAGGTCGACGACAGCCCGGAACACTTTCAGTGGGGCGTTCCGGATCTCGAGGGTCTGCGGCAGTTCTTGATGGCGACCATCGGATGGAGCAAGGAGCGCACCGATGAGGTGCTGGTGCCGGTCATCCGGGACATGAACAAGCGCGACATTGAGGGCACGCAGACGAATATCACGAGGTATTTTGAAGGGTCTGTCGGCGTTGGCGCGAGGGTCGCGTTTGCGCCGAGGCAAAAGGGCACGACGAGTAAGAGGATGGCCAACGCCGTGAGTCGGTTGAGGGCTAATGTCAATGGGGAGCAACCGAGTGTTGCGGAACAAGGGGGCGATGCTGGAACTGCTGCTGCCACGGCGGCAACGGCGGTAGCGCCGACGAAAGCTACTGGGAAGAGGAAGGCCAGGCCTAGGACGGCGGCTGCTGAGGATGAAGATGAATTTGTTGACGATGACGAGGTGGAGCAGGATGGGCAGGGTGCTCGAAGTGATAGAGCCCGGCGTGGGAAGAAGGCCAAGGCATCTGACTAGTGTGTCTGCCGATTAAGACCACAAACATGACTCCATTCACTCTATTTGTATGAATATGTGCCTGAGAGCGCCTCTCGCTTGGGTCGTCTCCTCATGCCCGTGTGCTTTGATATGTCCTTGATTTCGAGACTGAGATGGCGGATTGCAAGCATGGGCGATATCTGAAGCTATGCTGAAAGACTGCGAAGAAGGCTCAAAGAAAATTCAGAGCCTTGGCTGTCAAGTCCAAGTCCATGACTAGCTCACAAACCCACCCTTCACATGCCAACTCCGCTGTGGCGATGGCCAGTGATTGAAATCGCGCCAAAAGGGGGGGGGGGGCATAAAACCTCTCAAAGTCGGACTTGAGTGGTGAGTTTCTGGAACGGCATGTGAGTCACGAATAAGTCGATGGCCGCATTTGCCTGACGGAAGACCCGCTGGTCTTATGAATGTCCAGACCTGAGACGAGAAGTCTACCAATGAATCGAATCTTTCTTTTCTCTACAGGCATAAGATAAGCATGGGTACTGAATATTTGACGACCTTGTTGAGGGTTGAATGGGATGCATCATCAATCTGCTTTCCAAGAGGTCATTTTTCAGATACGACGTTGCCAGGTCATCCTTAATCGGGTACGAGCCGAGACGAGATCTGGGGTGAAAATCATGAGCACAGTGGAAAGATTGGCACTCGAAGTCCAATCGGACGGGAGGGATAGGCAAAATCTTTTGCGTTTCCATGTGGCGGGGTATCGTTGAGACTTCTTCGGGAGGCGAAGATCCCTCGAGGCAACTAACTTCGCGGTTCTCAGATCTCACTTGCTGGTTGGGTTCACACCGCAGAAATGCCGTGCGCGTGGAGCCAGGCGATACTCGACGAGCCCGGTGTTCACTGCAATGACTCAACGTTTGCGCCAGTCAGATTAGGTCAGATATCTCGTGGGACGTGGACGCTTGCAAGATGGCTCTAAAAATGAGGGGATTCACTCGCAGGCATATTCAACGTGGTGTGCCCTGACCCGCCGGCGACCGGCGACTTCACTGCAGACAATGGTCAGCAACAGTGACTCCCTACGCATTGCCGTCGTCGAATAAGCATTCGCCACGGCGAGGATAGAGTGCACAAAAGCAGATTAAGCCCAGGACAGCCAATAGAATCGGTTCGGGTAGGCGTTTCCGCTAATGCAGGAACAGCGAAAGCCAAAGTCGTGGACGGTTGGCGATGATTTTGACTTTCAGTCGTTAACGGCCTTTCAGCTTGTCCACGGCAGTCTCGCTCCCGGTTGCTTTCTTGTTTCCTGCCGGTGCGGCTGGCTGTCTCTTCCTCCGATAACACTGCATCGTCGACCGCGCAGGAGACCTGGTCGAGCCGTCCCTCTTTTCGCCTTACCCCAGCAGATTGCATCGACGAGCCCCACGACTAGACCTGCGGATCAACGACGTCAACGTGGTCATCGAGGGAACCAATGCCGCGAGACCGCCATGTGGCACGATGGGTCGCAGGAAAAGGGTCGGTGGAGTAGGCAGATGAGCGGTTTTCCTAGGTTTATTGGGCATTTCTTTTTGCTGCCTCGGAATTTCCATTTCGTCCGGCGGGAGGTTTTGTCCAATAATTTTTGCTTTTTTAGCCAGCCATTGCAGCCGGGGTTGCGACTCAGGCAACTTGAGCAAGCAAGACCGTTCGTCACAGTGCGGATCTAGGACGGATCTAGGACGGATCAACAGAACCGGGTCGCATTCGGTGCTAATGAGAAGGAGCAGAGGGATCGTTGTCCTCGTGGTGCCGGAGGTTGGAAGCTGGAACGGGCTGAAGCGCAAAAGTAAGAACCGGCGACGGCGAGGCCCAACGCGCCCTTCGGCGGTATCGCGCGATGGTTTGGACGGCACAATGGTGTCGGGATGGGATGGTGCCTGTTTCTCAAAGGTGCCTGCGTGATTAACCATCGGATGAGATGGGCCGCTCTGTGGATTGGATGAAATTGGATGTGCGTGTTGATTGGGTTGATGTGAGGGTTGCAGATGCACTGCTGTTGGGATGATCCCATGGCGAGAGATGGTCCTGGGACACACCTCGGAGGAGGGCGGCCGCACCCCACAGTCAGCTTGAATCACGCTCGATCTTGTCGAGGTCAGCACACACAGACGCAGCAACGCCGGCGCTGTCACTGCCACCCCCAAATCCCCCGAAATTAGGCGGGGGTGACAACCCCCCTGACAGTGAACTGATTGGAGTCAAATTGAGGAGGGCTCGGGAGCGCTGCGTCTTTGGCGCCCACCGTCCGAACTGTTCACCAGCGAAGGGGTTATTCTGTAAACCTGAGGCGGACGCTTTGTCGGTAAATGGCGCCTGCGGATGTTCGAAGTAGTGTACGAACAGCTTCTTTATGCGGATCTGAAGGACGGCAGAGAGGGTTCCTGGGGAACCGGAATGATCCCCTGCCCCGATCAGCCATGCCGAGGCCGTCACCTGATCCAAGCGTTCTCGCGGCCTGGCGAGGGCGGCCTATCCTTAGACTTTCTTCGTATTGATCCACTGATCTATCATGGCCGATATGGCCCTATTTTGACTGGTCTGAAATGGTCCGTCTCGTTGCCGTGTCGGACACCAGATGATGGCATTGTTGTCCTCGGATGTCGTATTTGCCCAAGATTAGAGCCTAGAACGCCGAGCAAGTCTAGCTATGCGTGCCAGATGGTGGTTGGCTGTTTCTCCTCCAAGCCTCGATGAGACGAGCGAAACGGCCTGGCTTGGCCCTTGGCGTTTACGGTGACTCCCACATCACCATGTTTGGCGTAAGCGCAGGACGTCAACCCGCCCAGCTGCTACAACCGCTGCCCGCGGTTGAAATGCAACACAGCGCCAACAGAGGTACGAAGGGAGCCGCGGGACAATCTTAGGGAAAAAAAGTATCGTTGCTGGGCCTGAAGTTCGCTCCGTCCTCCCATGCCAATAGCTGCAAGGTACGGATACAACCCCATGGAGAGCCAAGCCAGTGTTTCATAGAAACCAAGCCCGGATTGGTCCGTTCTGTTCCGTTTCCCTTTCTTGTCCAATGATTCAACGGCTTTTTCTGCTCCTGGACTTCCTTCCTCTCCCAGGAAGGCATCCACTCATCCAATTCACTTGCAGTCTGCAGATAAGGAAGGAAGGATGGGAGGCAGAGAGGCGTGTAGATATCCAATCCACCTCCAAGCAAGGGCAGAAACGACTGGGACCCCCTAGCGGTTCCTACCCAGAAGGTCCGCTTCTGCCTTTCTGCTGCTGTCTACCCTAGAGTCCACCCAGATTGGATCCCACCCACCCTTCCATTCTCCATCCTCCATTAACCTTGTTCCCCGAGATGCGCCTTCTCGCAACTTCGTCGTTTGCTTAGGTCGATTTATTAACATGGCCGTCCCGCACCTCTTAGCCCGCACATCGTCTTCCTCTCTCTTCCTCTACCACGATCCAGTGTTGAATCACAACTCCGACCTGCCGGTAACCGAATAGCATCGACTCTCCTTCCAACAGACTCATCGTCTCAAGTCATTCCTTTTTCACGCACTCAACCCTCAGTCTCACCACAACGTTGATTCAGAGACACGCCACACCGTTGAACAGGGTTCACTGAGTACGCCAACATTCCTGACAAACCAGTCACCTCGCCAGCCGAGTCAAAGAATAATCTGGGTCATATCCATACGCTATTGGGACATTCCTACATCGCTTTTACCAGCCACTTGCAATTCTTTTCGAGGCCGGTCAAATATCTTGAGGAACTCATTCCAATTTCCCACCAATTCTCAATTTTCAAATATTCATTCCAAGTACCTTTTCGAGAACGCCACTAGAACAATATGAAGTCTTCTGCTATATTCATGCTGGCTTCGGCTGCTGTTGGTCAGGCCATTCAGCAGTGCTCTGGCACGCCCAAGGAAGAGGGCGGCAACTGGTTCTGCGGTGCTGTCGAACAGATCTCGTACCTCAATGTCGGTGGACCTGGCACTTACAAGGCCGTCAGCCAAATGAACGAGGATGGTTTTTGCAACTTTGAGGACGTCGCCTTCTCTGGCGCCCTGGCCCCTTTCAATGAGGAGGTAAGTCTTTCAACAGAAAAGAAATTCATTTACACTTGCACCAATGCTCACATAATTACAGCTTGTTCCTGTTTTCCGCGGTCCCATGAACCTCAAGCAGGTTGCTGTTTACAATCTCTCTCCCAAGGCCAAGCGCTCTCCTGCCGTTTCTCACACTCACGCTCACGCTCGCCGCCATGGCCAGCACGGCCACCAGCACCTCCACAAGAAGCAGGTTGAGGAGGAGCCCAAGGAAAAGCGTGGTGAAGATTGGGTCGTTGCAAATATCGACAACCAGGTGGTGTCCTGGATCAACAACTACCATGGCCCAACTCCCGTGGGCCCTGCTCCTGTTGTTCCGACCCCCACCCCGACTCCCACTCCTTCTCAGCCGCCTGTGGCTGCTGCTGCTGTTCCTCAGCCTGGCGGCTCCAAGGATTCAAGCCCCAAGGCTGCTGATAGCCATTCTGGCTCCGTCAATGGTGGCTACACTCGTGTCGGTTACTATAACGCTGACAACGCTACCGCTGACGGTATCGTCTTCCTTGGCAACTACGGTGGCCAGGGCTCTGGCAAGTTTGACAAGTAAGTGTCACTTTGAGATGTTTGCTCATCTGTGTTACAGTATACTGACTGGAAACAGCGTCTTCGGTAACTCTTTGTCCTACCTGAACGCCGAGGGCACTGGTGGTGCCGCTTCACCACAGGTTTTGAAGCCCGTCACCCTCAAGTCCAACCAGGAGTTCCTCATCGCCAGCGACAAGCCATGCGATGATGATGATGATTTAGACAACAGCTGCGGATACTATCGCAATGGCTCCGTTGCGTACCGTAAGTTATCTATGTAATTCTACCCTCTCTTCATTTCGCTAACACATCATAGACGGCTTCAAGGGTTTCGATTCGGTCTGGCTCTTCGAGCTGAACATGCCTCTCGACGGAACCACTGGTTTCAACGCCGACATGTCGGCTCTTTGGATCCTCAATGCCCGCATCCCCCGCACCGCTCAGTACAGCGTATGCTCCTGCTGGCCTGGCTGCGGTGAGCTCGATATCCTCGAGGTTCTCAGCCCCGGCGATAGTAAGTGCAAGTCGACCGTGCACTCGATAAATTCCGGCGGCTCGTCCGACTACTTTCATCGTCCTACTGGCCCCCCCGTCAAGATTGCCGTCGTTCTTGACGCTGAGTCCAGCCAGGTCTCACTTAAGATGTTGGACTCCAACGTCGAATTTGGCACTGGCATCTCCCGCTCCCAGGTGGAGAGCTGGCTCTCTGCCGACTCCGTGTCGACCGCAAGCACCGACGGCCAGAGCAACAAGGTCTCCTTGTTCTCTCTGTCCTCTTGAGTATTTCCACCTTTTTGATTACCACTTGGATGGGATTCCAACAAGTACATGATTGCATATATGGGATTGGGGGATTGATGACGCCTTTATCTTTTGGCTGGATTGAGTCACGCAAGACTTTTCTTCTTGCATTGGATCTTGGGCATCTGATGACCTGAGACCTTTTTTTTTTTTCTCGACGTGCGGGGGTACCAGTTACTCTCGCTTTTGGGGGCAAGAGGGGATTGCGAAACGACATTAGACGGCGTCTAAGACACAGATACCCACCGGCCCCGGAAATGTGCGCCCTTTTTTGATGATTTTATGGAAAGGAGAGAAGAGGATTGGTTTTCGCTAGCGAGAGAGGTTGATCTTATCCAAATAGGAGGAGTACAAATTGATACCAAAGTTTTCAAAAGTAAAAAAATTTGCCTTTTTCTATGTTCAGTGTGACTTTCGACATACGCGTACCTTCGATAATTGAGACTCATCACTGCCCGCTGAAGAATATAACGGCTTGTTCGAGGGATGTCACATGTCACAGCGCTAATCATCGGCTGCGTGCGACTTACGAACAGTCCAACAAAACAGCTCGCTCGTGTTATTTGTTGTCCAGCGTATCCGCAGGGCAGATGACATTGCAAAACAGACGTGTCTGACTTATTGTTGTGGCACAAGAACGGGCAAGCATCTGAACAAGTCGTTGTCGAATGCCTATATTGGTAATGCGTGGTCGTTGCAGGGAACTCGGGGCTCGCGCCCCGGTGATGAACGGACATCCGAACCGGCTAATCCTCCGTGCCTCGACAAATGTCACTCTGCTGGTCAAGAGCTTTCGAAATGGCCCACGAATCACGCTGTAACTTACCTTAGCCTCCATTATTGGAAACTCTGATGGAAGTTCTGTTTGGTTCTTGTAAAACTTATTAACCTACCTGGCGATAGACGTGGCCTAAGCGCGAAGCCCGAAGGCCTCCCACGGCCGCGCGGTTGGGGAAACCAGGACGGAGAACGCTGGAAGCTCGCGGACCTCTTGTTTTGATGGGTGATTTCATAGGTCGAGCGAATTGCGAGCTTGGTAAGCTCCCGCGCGAGAAGGTCTGGGGACAGGAACCACACTAACCGGGATCGATTTCGCCCCCGCAATCTACTTACGTAGCAGAGGCTAGACGGTCATTCTTTCGTAGTTTCAAGCTCAATGCATAGTAAGCATGCATGGATCGCGGGAGATGTGCATCTCTATTGCTGTTTGATTTGTAGTTGCTTAGATGGACACGAGCAAGAGAGACTTGGCGAATGCTGTACATACACACATAGTAGCCCGCCTACGTACTAGGTACGGATATTGAGGGGGCAAGTACCTAGATGGAGGAACTCTACCATGCGTAGACGTACGCGCGCGAGCGCCAAAGACAGGGTGAGACGGAGTTGCATGATAATGAGGGGTTCCGTGCCAGCTTTGCCTAATATGGTAGCTTATGTCGAGGTGTGTCTACATTCACGTCCTGAGACAGGTACGTCTTGTAAGAGGGCCAGACAGAGAGGTTCATGAGCTAGATTGTGTATAAAGACCGGACGATCGCTTGCCTCGTCGACATCTGAATCTTGAAGAAGATCATCATCAAGCCACAATTACACCACCTCAATTTGTATTGCACACACCCAATTGCACGATTCAGATCGTCCATAAAGGTAGTTGATATTCGGCACATCCCCAACATCGCAGCGTACTGCACCAGACAGACACTATTTGTCTAACATTTTTTGCAAACAGATCGTCATCGCACCGAAAACTCACTCACGAAATGTCCAAGATCATCACCGTGTTCGGCGCCACGGGCGCCCAGGGTGGCAGCGTCGTCTCCATCTTCCTCAATGACGCCAAGCTCAGCAAGGACTGGCGGGTCCGTGGCGTCACCCGCGATACCACCAAAGACTCGTCCAAGGCTTTGGCGGCCAAGGGCGTTGAGGTTGTCTCTGTAAGTCTGCACCCCCCCCCCCTCCTTTCCGGAGAAACGTCAAACCTTGGGCATAATACTTAGAAATGACATGCTGACGACTGCTGGCTTTGAACAGGCCGACCTCGGTGACAAGTCGTCGCTGACTGCCGCCGTCAAGGGCGCTTCGGCCGTGTTCGCCGTGACGAACTACTGGGACAAGCTGGACAAGGACTTGGAGATCCAGCAGGGCAAGAACATTGCCGACGCAGCTCTGGAGGCTGGCGTCGAGCACTTCATCTTCAGCTCCCTCCTCGACATCAACAAGCGTACGTACTCAGCTTTTCCTAACAAATCACAGCCACGCTGCGAAAGGATGGGGGGCTAACATGCCACAAAGTATCCAAGGGCGTCCTCCCTGATGTGTACCACTTCGACAGCAAGGCCGCCGTCGAGGAGTACATCCGCACGACCTCCCTCCCCGCGACCTTCTTCCTCCCAGGCTTCTATATGTCCAACCTCCCCGGCGGCATGTTCCGACAGACGCCTCCCGACAACGCCTGGGGCTTCAGTCTACCCGTGCCCGCCAGCGCCCCGATCCCTTTCTTCGACGCGGCGGCCGACACGGGCAAGTTTGTCAAGGGTATCGTGCTGAACCGTGAAAAGGTGCTCGGCAAGCGCGTGTTCGCGGCGACGTCGTACACGACGGCGGGCGAGGCCGTCGAGACGTTCAAGAAGGTGTACCCGGAGGCGGGCAAGACAGCCCGGTTCAACGAGCTCACGCACGACCAGTTCCGGGGCGCGCTCAAGGGCCAAGGTATGCCGGATTTCGTGGCCGAGGAGATGCTGCAGAACATGAGGCTGCTCGACGAGTTTGGGTACTATGGTGGAGAGAAGCTGGATGAGTCGCATGCGATTGTCGAGGATAAGCTGACGACGTGGGAGGAGCATGTGAAGACTGCCAAGGCCTTTTCTGGGCTGGCATAGGCTAGTGGTCTATAAGAAATGGGCTTATCAGCATTCAATGAGGAAAATATAAAGGAATGGAAGCTGATCAACATTGGTACGAGTGACCGAATCATTCCATTGTTCTGCGCTTGAGTATCGGGACAAATGTTGGGACAAATGTTGAAGCTGTAATGTTCTTGATAAGTTTCGATCCTGGATCATTTCGGCTTTTCGGGTTGTAGGTCGTGCAGTGTTTGCTAGTTGACGTAATGCAACACGATCATCAAATCCAGCCACGCGGGTATCAGAAAAACAGGCCGGATTTCCGAGCACCGTTGACAAAACTGCCCCTTCTGTATCGACCAAACGAGATACAATAACCTTAAATTTTAACCAACAAAAAGTAACTGCGATCTCTTTCTATGAAGGAGAGGTATTTATTCGTTTTTGGAGCTCCTTGGGTACTTGGTGACTAATGATGGAAGAGAGTCCCTAAGAGGACCGGCCTATTTTTCTGACCTCCGCGTGCCAGCAAAGCTTGAAATCCCCAATCAACTGCGGCAACCCCAGATTCAAGGGTCGTGAACGGTAAAGCTAATGGCGATGGAAGACAATTTCCCCCAGATTCAGGGTTTGGAAACGAAGATGCCTCGGCCCAGGGACGGGTCGGCGGCGTAGCGGCGGCGAGAACAGAAGATTGCAAGGCCTAGGCCGCCCACATCGGAACTTGGTAGCCTGGTAGAAGATACCGAGGCAAAGAAAAAACCACTGGAGGGTGTACACACAGCAGAGGCGGGACCTGCCCGTCCCCGACCCCATCTTTTTGACGTTCTGCGCCTCCAACCGCTGACTCTCCAGTAACCAACTTCCTATCCACCAGTCCACCGCCGACTCACGCACCCGCCTGGCACGAGCCTCCGGGGTCACTTGCCCGCCGCCTACACTGTGACTGCGTCCCCGTCCGCCGCGGCCCCCATTATCTTTGTCAAGTGCATTGCGCTGGGAGCCCAACTTGTGCCCGCCATCCCAGAGACCCTTTCCCTTCCCGTCCCCAACTCTAGCTTCCCCTCTCCCCTCTCCAACACGTCGCAGAACGTCGTTCGTATCGTCATTTCCACTGCATCTCCGACTGAGGTGCATTGCCAATCCAATCCGAGGACTTGGCCGGCTAACGCCATCCTCCGTCGCGCATATCCGGAGCCCTGCGTGCAGCACCGAAAATCCCAACTTGATAGAATCGCCACCGGCTGCGCTCCTGATAGGCGGATTACGAGATAACACCGAGTGGCCTCACACGCAGTATCCAAGGAAAACTTGTTCCTCGCGGGAAAAGTAATTATGGCTTCCCCTCCAAAGCCCTGGGAACGGGCCGGTGCTCCAACAACAGCTGCCTCAAGTGCGTTGAACACCACAAAGGTCGATGACCATCGCCAGGTTTTGAGATTGCTAACGACTCCTCTAGCCATACCCATGTCCGCCGCAAATATCGCGACCCCGACACCGGCCACAACCCTCTCCAGTGCTACCCCGCCCGCTGTTCCCGAGCGACCTGCCTCTCTCGCCTCCGCTGTCGACCAGAACGCTGCCGCCTACAGCAGAGCAGGCTTAGGTGCGGCCGCTAGTCCTTACGGCTCATACAGCGGTGCCTACTCTTCTCCTTACAGTAGTCCGTACTCTAGGATGGGTTCCTACGGTGGTTACGGCGGCGGCATGTACGGTGGAGGCATGTATGGCGGCGGCTACGGCGGTGGCATGTATGGAGGAGGCATGTACGGCGGCGGGATGGGGATGGGTGGTATGGGAGGCATGGGAGGACCCAACGACCCGAACAGCCTGACGAACAGGTTCAATAACAGCACCCAGGCGACGTTCCAGATGTTGGAGGGTGTCGTCGGTGCTTTTGGTGGCTTTGCCCAAATGTTGGAGAGCACATACATGGCCACGCACTCAAGCTTCTTCGGTATGCAACCATGGTCACATGTTGGCGAAAGACAACTAACAGCAGCACAGCTATGGTGTCGGTGGCAGAGCAATTCAGCAATCTGAGGGATACCTTGGGCTCCATACTCGGCATCTTCACGCTGATGCGTTGGATCCGCACCCTCATCGCCAAGATCACCGGCCGTCCACCCCCAGCTGACGCGACGGCGCTCACCCCGGCCGCTTTTGCCAAGTTTGAAGGCCGGCAGCCCATCGGTCCCGACGGTGCTCCTTTGGGACCACCCAAGGCATCCCGCAAGCCGCTCTTCTTCTTCCTCCTTGCCGCCTTTGGTCTCCCGTACCTGATGCGTAAGATGATTAACACCATGGCGGCATCCGCGGAGGAGGAAGAACGTCGCCGCATGGCTCTCGCCGGCGCACAACAGCCCTTGGATCCATCCAAACTTGATTATTGCCGCCTGTTGTATGACTATGCGCCTCAGCCCGGCAACGCCGTCAAAGATGTCGACATGGAAGTGCGCAAGGGTGACCTCGTTGCCGTCCTCTCCAAGAGCGATCCCATTGGTAATCCTAGCGAGTGGTGGAAATGTCGCGCTCGTGATGGCCGTTCAGGATACCTTCCGTCGACCTACCTCGAGATTATCAAGCGACCTGGCCAGCCTCTCGCCGCCATCAAGAATGCTCCTAGCGACAGCAGCAGAACCAACTCGCTGACAGGCGCCGCGCCCGAAAAGGGACCGGAAGTCAAGACGAAGATTGGTGATGTTTCGCCCGAGAGCTTCCAGAAGAGCGTGTTCTACAACTAAACTATATATAAACTACCCGTCACGAAGGGCGACCCGTCTGGCAGGAATGATAAAGCGGTGCGACGAGCGATACGACAAGCGATACGACGAGCTTTCCTTTGTAGGTTGTGGTTATGTACGATTCAGTACCCGTTTGGGATGTTTGCAAGTCCGTTTGGGACTCAAAAGCTGGGCGTTCAGGTTCATGACCGAGTCTCTTGGTAGTGGGAGCGGATGGAGTGGCCGCTTGGATATCTTGGCCTCAATTTGACGAATGGTTACCCAATTCAAAACGAAGAGTAGCGGTAGTATTGGCGACAAGCCTATTGCTCTTCAAGCCATCTCTGACACTCTGCACAATCGGAAAAGAAGATCGTGAAGTCTTGCGCACAGTCCCACCCAGCGAGATAGGTCATGTGATCAAGCCAACACTAGTGGTCCAGTGCCGCTCTACCTGAGTGGGTTTAGCTGATCAGACTATCCGCTTTTGCACTCCCATCATTCTATGTCGGGACGCTTCCACGATTGACGTCAGATGAGACGACAAGCGTCAGAAGCCAATTCTGGAGGTCAGGAAGCAGGCAAGTCTCTCACCCATCTAGTGACAGCTGCCGATACTGTTGTTTCCAGATGTATTTGCGGACACGGAGGCCACACGGAAACCACTCGACGGGCTGATCTGAAAGCCCGCAGGCCGCAGTACCCTGAAGAAAGTCTTAGAAAGTTACATGCCTGAGCTCCGTGGCTCCCTGCGCGACCCAAGGAGGGCGCGCACGAGCCACAGATGACGTTGTTGACTTACGTCTTTTTTACGGCTGCTGTGGCACTGCTAAGGTACCTAGCTGCTAGCTGCTCCCAGCCCTGGTCTCCCGCCAAGGTCCCTCTCCCGTCCGGCTACGTAAGGTTCCTCTCATTCGGTCCCCTACCTCAGGCCAGCTTGAAAGAGGGTACCTCTGTTCACGTACCTGCCACCTTTTACCTGCCAGAATTACCCGACCCATCGTCACCCTCATCCCTATCCTACAAAAAGCCAGCTCCGCCCAACCTACAAACTGTGTTTCTCCAAATCCCAGTACCAGACTCCAAACTTATCCTCGCCAAGACGATACCTAATCTGAATACACCCGGAGAAGTCAGTTTGGGCTTTCGAATCTCTCCCTGTTTCCAAGGAGAGCACACGATCACAATCCCTTTTTCTGCCTAGCTGTTCCGGGAGCTGAAGCTTTCCCCGCACCAGTCAAGATGACTCTCTACTATACTCTCGTACGTTTACAGCACCCGATTTCGGGCTTTCTTGCCTTGGACATTGGCGGAATGGATAGCTCGCGAGCAGGAGACAACTATGCTGACATTTCGCGTCCTAGGTGTTTATACTCCTCATGGCGGAGATGGGGCTTTTCATGCTCCTCTTGGTACCCCTCCCTTTCGCCATCAAGCGGAAGTTGTTCACGTACGTTTCTCCCTTCCTCGACCTTCCTCTGCTTCCGGGCGAACCTCGCCCACGCCGACCCAATAACTGACGCACAATACCCGCAGCTTCATCTCCGAAAGTCCAATCGTAGCAAAAGTGCAGTATTGGATGAAGATTACCTTCGTCTTCATCCTGATTCTGTTCATTGACAGCGTCAACCGTGTTTATCGCGTCCAGGTCGAGCTGGCGATTGCCACTGAGAACCAGAACAGCGGGTATGTATCCAACACCACAACCAAATTTCAAAAGGCTCTGGTGGTACATGAAGCTAACAAAGACGTCGTACAGCGCCGCCGTCATGGGCCACGAGCGCCTTGAGGTGCAAGCCCGCAAGTTCTATTCCCAGCGCAACATGTATCTCTGTGGCTTCACCCTCTTCCTCTCTCTCATCCTCAACCGCACTTACGTCATGATACTCGAAGTGATGCGTCTGGAGGACAAGGTCCGTGGCTACGAAGGCACCAAGGGCAACGCCAAGGAGAGTGAGAAGCTTGCCGTCGCCGGCGATGCCGGTGAAATCGCCAAGCTCCGCAAGCAACTCGAGGAGAAGAACCGCGACCTCGAGACACTCAAGAAGCAGAGCGCCGGCCTGCACAAGAGCTACGACGAGCTCTCCGACCAGTACGCCTCCACCCAGCCCAAGGGTGACAAGAAGGCGCAGTAAATCAACCAAATCGATACGGATATTCGGATCAATGGAAAGTTCTCGCAAGAACGAAACTGCCGTCTGAGCGCGGCATAAAAGGGGTAGTGGATGAGCAACAGAATAGCACCGGGTCAATGACCTGTATCACTGGTATAGAGGCGTGTGTAAGAAGCCTGGATGGCGTTAAGCTACAGATCTAATAAAGCTTCTCCTTTTGACACAACTCGATACAAATTTTGTCGTGTCCCCCAAAAAAACACTCACTTGGTTCCTGAATGCGTCACCAGATCAACTGAGCAGAGAATAGCAGCATATACTACAGATATACAAGGCTTGAATGGTGCAAATCTCGCTCGCTCATACTATACTCTGCCGGGCTTCAAACAACCGCCGGGAACTGCAACCTCCGAAGTAGGTAGGAGTCGAGTCTATGGTGAGATCGGTATCATCCTTTACTCCACTGCTCTATTGACCATCAGGTTTCCAAAGCGTGCTCATGTCTTGGATGGGCGTTTCCATCCTACCAGTATTCACTGCAAGATTGGGATAAATTGACAGAGAGGGGTACAGAACGCTATGAGATGAATCGCTTGGTATTATCAAAGATGAGGGATGCCCCAAGGTAATCGACGTATTTGCTATATTCCCATCTCCGTACTACACACAAACAATTGACGAATGTCACAACGATCAATGCTCTTCAGAAAGTCATCACCAGCCATGGCGGTTTGATTGCCGCCGTGGTTTATGAGGTCGCTGCTCTCCGCCAGAAAAGTCCCGTGGAAGGTAGCTAAATGATGAAACGTCTAGCTGCCGGAAAAGATCCCATCTAGAAAGGCCCAAAACCTTTGCAAGGGCCTTGGAAGTTGGCTTCAGCCCCAATACAGTCGACATCGGCAAGAGGGTCTATATCAAGTCAGCCGTGTTCCCTGGTACTATCTTCAAGGATTCATAGAAGTAACATGCTCAAGAAGGAATTCGTCAACAGCGGATATACAAGCTGGTATAACGGCCGCGAAGGCACCATTACATGCTATTGGATGGGTTTGTCAACATGTAATTTCTTCAAGGGGGAGGTAAGAGGACCTACACCAGACATCACAGCCTCGTGGCCGCCTCGCGGCCTCTCCGCTCGGCAATCATGTTATTGCAGGCGCCGAGGTCGCTTGAAGTCTCGCACTGGTACCGTTTCTGTTTCTTTGCCAGGCTGGCATCGGCGATCACGTCCGAGGGGACAGTGGCTGCCTGAGAGAGGACGGCTAGCAGAGCCACGGCATTGATGTTGAACTACATGATCAAGAGAGGGTGTAAAGTTGTCAAAAAGCGATACGTCGTGGATATTCCGCTTGGAATGTGTTAGAAGAAGTGACTATAGTGTGATTGCACCTTGACGAAGAACCACGTTCATGGCGACAAAAAACCTCTGCATCAGTGCGTCTTGAAATCAGAAACGGCTTAGGTCCCTCGGAAGCCGACCTCTTCAACTGACCAACATCGTATGCGTAACTTCGATAAACAGGACTTGGCAACTTGGCGGAACTGGGGGATTAAGCTGAGAAACTCATGCTCAGACGGCAAAGGAGTTTACACAATTTCCCGGTTCCTTGGCAAGAGAAAATAGCTTTCGAGGCTTTTAGCGGTGAAACACTTCGAGCATATTGCTTTCCCAACTGGATAAAGCCGTGGGAAATTTTTGCTTCCCTCATACCGCCAAACCTCACCTGAGATATTTGGACTTTTGATTTTCCAAATTTTCCGCAAAGTCCTGCTCGACATTCATTACGGCCTGTGCCTAACACAGCTTCCCAAAGGGTGGCAAAATGTAATTACCTTCACATGGGTTTACAAATGGTTTGAATAAGGTCATGAGTTGCGGTTAGGTGGAGACCAGGAGTTGTCAGCCAGTTCAATACTGTAATTGATTCAAGGCTCTAGGTGCCTTTGTTGGCTTTAATTCCGCCACGGTCTGTGTGTGGTGGATTTCGGACTCGCGTGGGACAAGACTTGGCGTTAAGAGGTATCGTGGCGTTGTACGAGGCCGAGTACTTAGTTAATAAATCTCAGGATTGTGGAACTAGGCTGTTGATCATGACTGAAGGAAAGGTGGACTTATGGATAGGTCATGCATAAAAGGATGTTGGTGAGAGATACCATAACTAGCAACTTGTACAAGATGCATGACGATGTCCGTCTGAACTGGATATCCATCCCACAGACAAGTCACCTTACCAATTCAACCTTTTTCTCACCAGACAGCTCACTCGTAGGCAATTTCTCTTATAATCAACATGAAGTCCAACGTTGTCAGATTCATTTGTATTGCATCGTGGTATCAAAATTCCTTTTGAAATCATTCTATACGCTTTACCATCAAATTAACGGTGACAAACCAGAGGGCCGCTTGCGGCGAGCCAGTAATTTTTCTGCCACCGCCAGATCTTCAGCAACGGCAACGCGATCTTTGCTATAATCAGACTTTGTGATGCCGTCGGGGGAACGCTTTGTTACGATTCTGCCGGGAACTACAATGTCGTACGTGATGACTTCTAGTCAACTCTCCATCACCGTTGTACCCTGCTAATTTCCGCCTCCAGTTGCTGGCCAACGGTGATTCTAACCGCAATCGAAGAGCAGTGCAAGACTGGGAGCCAGTGAACCGACCAGCAGTGCAAGGACGACACGTTTCACGGCATTGAACAGCCGGCTGGGAGTTTAAGGGCTGTTTGTACTTCATACAACGGTGCTGGGTGCCCGGCTTGAGTCGCCGCACTAAATACCCATGTTCATATGAGCTGGAGGGTTACGGACTCTCTGGCAGAATATCTCAGAGTAGAAATTCTTATGAACTTGAAGCCGATTTGTCCCATCTGGAGGTCTCCATTCGTTGATCAAGTGTTATCTTCGAATCGGCCAAGAAGAGGACAACCTCAAGCAATGCTCCAGATGTAAATCCATAGAGCACGGTGTGGAGAGACGGAATAAGTACAGGTTTGAGAGCCGCTTTCTCATTAGTCTTATTTGCAATTCGCATAACTCATCCACGGTATACTACTAAGTGACAAAGCTAATACCGAAGGGAGAGAAAGCTCCAATGGCGTCCTCGCGATTCACGTGAAAGTTAGCAGTAAAAGTCAGGAAGCTCGTCTTTTCTCATTAGCTCGCCCCTAACTGTAATAAAGTACACTGGAATATACCTAATAGAATACGCCATGGTATCAATATGGTGAGGTCCTTCCTTTGGGAACCACAGGCAGGGCGATCGTCTCCGTTCCGCGTTTAGGTAATGTCGAATATCGCTGGCAACGATCAAAGACCCCTGGTGATGTTCAAGCTTGATTCCAGAGACCTTTAGATGAGTTCTTTTGTCGAAAGAGATGACACTGTCCCATGCAGCGTTCTAATTGGTGTACCGGAACCTTGCCTTAACTTCACTGCGTGGCCTTGGTGCGGCTGTGTGCGGTAACAGCCCAAACCGCCCGAGAAGAACGTTCGAATTGCCTGGACTGCCTAGATGGTCCGGATGGTCGCGGCCGATGCTCGTCTCTTCGTTCATTGCGGAAGATATCCGCAAGGAACCGTCCCAGCCAAAATGTTTGTGCTCGCAGAGCCTGATATATCCCTCTATCGTTCGATGCAGACTCTTTTGTTGGACATTTCTCGTCGTTGCTTGGCCGAGAAGAGGGAAGATGGGCGACCTCTACCGCAACCAGACCAGTACAAGGGTGAGATGCCTGACCTGTACTTGTTCCTGTAGGATTTGATAGTCGTGCAAGGTTTGCAAAACAACCCTGTCGTGTTGCTAGAGCGCCATGCGTCTCTTTTTGTTGGGTTTCGAGAGGTACCAGTACTCAAAGGGCCCGCATTGATGTCAGCGGGCCGCCGAGACAATTTGTTTGGGTAATTCGGGATCCCCAGGCTTAGACTTCCGGCCTCTTGTCCTTCTTGATCTTGGCCTGTATCTTCGGGGACTGCTTCTTTGTTGACGACGCGGCCCAAGATGTTGGCAGTGACAGCTTTTTCATCATCCACAGTTGTTGAAGATAGGCTCCCAAGCTCGTTTCCGTCACTTGACTCTTTATAGCCTCTTCGAGAGCAACAGGGGTGTATATCGACTGGAACAGGCGTTGCAAATAGCCCAGCACGAAACAACGGGGGCAGGGTAGCCCAAGAGTCGCCCGGTCTGCCATCCTTGAGATCGGAATGGCAGCGTAGGAACACAAGGTATCTGCGCCAGTGGGCGGGTGGCTTTCCGAGGTTCTTGAAGGAACTTGTAAGTATCGGTGCTCATGAATATTCGCAGGCCTGTGAGTCGGAATGGCATCCATAAGCCATCACCAAAACCCTAGGCCTAGACGTTCGCTTTAGACGCAGCCTCGTCCGCCTGGCCCTTATTAATCAACTCCGTCACCCCTTCAAGGGGAAGGGTCTCGAGCTCGCGCGTTACCCGGACGTTTGGGCGATGGATCAAAAGCGGAGTCTGGGTCTTGATGCGGCTGACGATCACCGCGACCAGGCCCTCGGCCGATTTCTTGAACAGACCTTCATCTTTAGTTTGACATGGAGACTCGGACAAGTGCAACAGCTCTTGTGACCTGTACTGTCGTCCTTGCCAAACCGAGTCTATCGTGACGTATTCACATCAGAATATGCAAGTCCCAGCAGTGAAGGCTCGATAATGAGTCCCTTATATCAATCGTTTATTATCTGCTTCATCTCTATTTTTGTCTAGCCGTATATGGATTCCCCCATCTGTAGCCCGTCACGGGAACACCGTTTAGTTCAGACTCTTGTCCCTCCAATCCCAAACCTCCAACCCAACGCCGCCGACAGCGACCTTGCCATCCCCGATAATCTCAATATCGCCGGCGTCCGCAACGCCGCTGTACTCGTCCGCCAGCAACGTGACCTCCTCCACACCCTCGCGCCACCCAAGCCGCCACATCTTGACCCGCTGGTCGTTGCTGACTGTCGCAAAGTCTACCCCGCCAAGTCCCGCCGCCCCGAGGACCGTGAGGCCGTTGATGGCCGCCGCATGCGCTTTCCTGACCCCGGCTCTCGTCACGGGCTCGAAAGTTCTGTCGTCGTCGTCCCCGCTGCTGCGTGAAACGAGGGTGACGATACCCAACGCGTTGTCGTCGCCGCCGGTGAGGACCACAACCCTGTCCTCGTCCGACGTGGAATGTACGTCGAGAGCCTTGATACTGCTCTGGTGGATCCGCTCGGTGTGCCGCAGGACGTACTCGGAGCCCTCGGACCGCCAGACCGCGAGACACCCGTCCGTTGCGGCCGTGATGACGTCGAACACGCCATCCCGGACCCGAAGATGACGGGCCTGCGTCAGGCAGGCGCCGGTGTACTGCCCCTTGAACAGCAGCTCGAAGCCTTGACCGGGGGTGTACCGGTACGTCTTGACGAAAGAGTTGGAGAAGGCCATGGTGACGGCAACGCTGCTGATGCCAGTGCTTGCCTCCTCCTGCTCCAACGCCTCGACGTCGAAACTCGTGATTCTGAGGTCCCCGTCTTCGCTCTTATCCGTGAAGATGGCCTCGCGCATCAAACCCAACCCCCTATCACCGAGATCGCACGCCCGCCAGACCATGAATTCCTCGTTGCCGCTGCAGCTGAAGAGAAGCTGCTCGCCCAGCCACTTCAGAGCCTGCAGCCCTGCGGTGTGGACCTTGACAACCTTGACGCAGCGTAGCTCCCGTCTCTTTTTGGAGGAGGGCTCTGTAGGGTGATCGGCGGTGGCAGTGGTGTACTCCCAGATGCGGATCGCTGTGTCCTCGGCGCCGGTGGCGATGTAGCGTCGCCCAGAGTATGCAATGGCGCGGACCTCGCGGCCGTGGGACCCGCGTTTGAGTGTTCGATGGTAGGTGGCGGCGACGGAGGGGTTGTACTGGGTGTATACCCCCAAGGTAGCGGCCTTGTTGAAGATAAAGCGCATGCCGTGGTCTTTGCCGCTGTCAAGGTCGTCGTGGCTTCGCCGGGTGTAGGCAAAGGCGCGGTGCGCGCCGCCGCAGTCGACGCGGAGGATCTCCTCGTGCCGGGCTTCGTTCCATACGATAAAGTTCTTGCTGCGGAAGCCGCAGAGGATCAGGTCGGCGGCGGCACCGGCGCCGGAGAGCCACGCGTCTTCGAGGTTGGGCACCGCTGCGGGTGCAGTCTCATGGCGTAGGTGGATTGCGGACGGGGAGAGCTCGTAGATGCGGTAGTTTCCGTCGCGGCTCGTCGTGATGATGTGAGACACCGTAGAAGAAGGAGATGATGACTGGGTGGGAAAGATGCTGATGGAGGTAATGGCGTCGCCGGAGCGGCGGTCCGGTGCCGGGAACGGGATGAGCTGGCCTTGCGCACGGCGGAAGACGGACATGTAGCCGTGGCGTGAGCCAAGGACGATGAGGTCGTTGATCTGGCAGGCGGCGGTGACGACGAATCTGCTGTCGAGCTCGGGGACGGGGACCATGGAGGTGACGGCCGAGGTATTGAGGTCAAGCGTCAGGATATGCATGGCGTCCCCGCTCCCCAGCATGGTGACGAGAAACTCCAGCTTTTTCTCCGATGCCTCTGCTTCTGCTGAAGGACTGCTCAGGGGGAATATGTCTGCTACTTTACCTGGCACCGTGCCGACCTGCTGGATGGTCGAGTCGCGGTAGAGTAGGATCTTCTTATTCGCTGTGCCTATCAGGGCGAGACCCGGTGCCGGGCTCTTCAAGCTCGTGCAGGCGTTGAGTGCGCGCATCATCTCCCCGTCGGTCCCGATATGGGTCCACGTGAGTTCCGGTCCAAAGGAGCCGACTAGGAGACGGCCGGTGGTGCTCGTCGCAACGATGGTGTCCTCGTAGACGAACGCGAAACGCTGGAATGCCTCCTTGGTCTCCAAAGGGATCGCGAAGTCGGGGTTCCGCGGCAGCTGGCTGACCACGTCCCGCATCACTAGAGTCTGCAGTTCGCTCGGCAGTTCCTGTGCCTTGGACACGGCACCGTCACCGCCGGTGGCCGCGCGCGAACGGTCCGAGAAGAGGTTAATCTTGCTGTCCGCGCCGCCCGTGGCGACCAGTACCTGCCCGTCGGCCTTTCCCGTGACGGCAGTGGCCCAGATGTGCTTGCCGTCGTGGCGGGCATATGTCTCCTTGTACGTGATCTTTGCAGTGACGGGCGACTCGTCACCCTCGACCACGACCGACTTTGACCTCCGCCGCCACTGCTCGACGTCAACCTTGAGAGACCAAGCCTGCAGCGTCGAGTCCTCGCCAAAGGAATACACGGTCGCGGGATGGCCCCGTGCCAGCTCGTCGAGCGCCCCGCGCGAGAACCTGACGTGCCAAATGCGTGAAATGTGGCCCATGATCATGGCCAGGGGCGCATTGGACGTGACCTGCGTCGCCGTAAGGTCTGTGGCGGCGGCGGCTGCCGTAGCAGCAGCACCTCCGAATCCCGTTTCCCTTGCTTCGCCAAAGGCGTCATACTGAAGACGCGGCGACCCAGGTTTCTCGGTGATGTCCCAGATGCGGATCGTCCTGTCATCACTACAGCTAGCGAGCAGCCTCACCGTACACCCTTCGCCGAGGTCGATCTCTTGCGAAATGTCCACTCCGAAGATGGAGCCTTCGTGACCCGTGAAGACGAAGAGAACCTCGCACCAAGACTTTCCCGCATCTTCATCAACCGCGCCGCCGTCATCATCGGAGAAGTGACATTTCCAGACAATAATCTCTCCAAAGGCGGTGCCGCCAGCCACGAGCACGGAGGTCCCAGATATCCAAGTCAAGTTCGCCGAGTACAAGATCGGCCGGGACGGCGACACGAGGCGGCCGAACGAGATCGTCCTGTCGTCGTCGTTCCCGATGCAGAACTCGAGGACCTCGTTGTGCGCCGTGATCAGCACGCCGCGGTCGGGGTCCTCGGGCGAGATGACGCCGTCGTAGATCCAGTCCGGAGCCTTGGCCTCAGTGATCTCTATTGGTGGTGGTGCATCGCCTTCGTCTCCGAGAATGAGCTCTTCGATGACGCCGGCAGGGACAACAGTCACGGCTTGGTTCCCCCAGAGCAGCACATGCCGCCGACCTTGCCCTTGCCCGTCCTTTCCTCCGCCCGCCGCCGCGACGTGGATGCCGTGGATGGATTGGGCGCGAAAGATCTTGAGCTGGCAGCGCAGCCGGCCCTCACCGTCGTATACCTTCAGCTCCGTGTCCTCGCCGGCCAGGAGATACGTCTCACCATTCCTGGCGTCGAAGAAGCTGAGGCCAGTGACGGGGGTGAAGTAATGATCCCTCTGCAGGGGTCCGGCTACAAATTCCTGTTCCCGTCCGTTAGCTCAGAATATGACTTCAACCCCTTCTTCCATTTTGAGAAAAATTGGGAATCCTATTTTAGAAGTCTAGGGGGTAGGTGAGAAACAGGGCTTCGATTACTAACTGCATGGTGACGGTTCATGAGGGAGAGCGGGCAGCCTTACAACTGGCCTGCCCAAGTCGGGTAATGTCTGACTCTGTGTTTTCACTTTTTAAAAACGTCTCAATGGAGGGGTTGTCCTAGCGTTCAGAAGAGGCGAGACTGAAGCGGTGCGTTTCTTGTGAATGGCGGTTATCTAAGGTCCCAGGAGCATGATGCCAGTCTTTTTCGGCTGAGCTGAGCTGGTGCATTCAAGGCAGGTCTTCCTCTGGTCAGCGCTTGCTGGTAGGATGTGTGTGGTGGACCGAGTCACCATCCCCCCTCTGCTGCTGGCTTGGTGGAGTTTTTTTTCCTCTGGTGTGTTTTTTTTTCTCTCTGGGAAAATTCGAGGCAATCCTTCGACAGTGTTAATTGACGCCAGAATGCACGTTGTTCGGGATTGCCCACAACCATGGGTGCAAGTCACGATTCAATGGTGGCACAAGCTCTCACATCAAATCCCTACACACATCTCTTGCTAGGGACAAATTTGTTTGTAAACCTCTGGCATGGTTTTGTAATTGCTCTATGAGCATAGTCGAATTCTATAGACGATAAAGCCTGGATGGGTATCTCCAATCCCGAGCAGTCCACTAAAGCCTACAAGTGTCATCATTCCCCCCTGACGATCATCTTCGTCCTCAAAGCTACTAAACATTCGTATCCACCTCCGTGCGTGTCCGTCGTTCCCATGATAGTGAGCCATTACCCAACGCCAAAAATGCTGAAATCAAAAGTATTGCAAAATCAAGCGACCTCCTCTTGCTAAGGAATACCGCTCTGTGGGTTGAGTGCAGCATTTAAGAGCGGTGTGAGTAAGGCTCGTAGGCTGTGTCACCACGAGCACCGCTGGCGTAACGGGGAGCACCGTACTGGGTAGCCTGCTGCTGCTTGTAGTAGCCGTTCTCCTCGTGGATGGGCTGGTAGCTGCTGCTTTGGGGCAGAAGCTTCTCGCCGTCGCTGTTGCGCTTGCGGTCCTTGCGAGTGTGGCTGGGAGCACAGCAGCAAATGGTGAACATCCAGAAGAAGCCGGCGCCGAGAGCAAGAGCGGCAGAGATCCAGATGAGAGCAAGGAAGCTGTTGTTGAAGCCCGCAGAAACACCGTAGTACTTGGCAGTGCCCTCGACGGCGCCGACGACGATGACGGACATGGCAGTGGAGAGAGCGGCGGAAGCGCAAACGGCGATGGAAGCGAGAGAGGCGACGAGGAAGGTGATGCAGGACATGGCACGAGTGCAGTTGGCGAAGATGCCGAAGATGATCTCGAGGCCCAGGGCGATGAAGGCAATGATGTAAGCAACTTCGGTCCACTTGGCGGCGGTCTTGAAGGCGGAAAGAGCGGTAGTGACCTCTTTGGGGAGCTCGATCTTGCGACCGGCGGCGGTCCCAATGGTCTCGAGGGTGGAAGTGTTCAAGTACTGGGAAGCCCAGTCGAACTTGGCCTTGGTGCAGGTCTTATCGCCATTGGTGTCGGTAGTGCAGTAACCCCAAAGAGCAATGTCGTAGAGGTTACCGAGACCAAGATCGGCGGCGGTGATGTTACTCGTCTGAGCGGTGGAGTCGGTGGCGGCCTTGGTGATGGCGTTGTCGCCGTCGGCGGTGAGGAGAGCGCGGTCGTGGTATTTGCCAAAGTTGACTGCCTTGACATCTCTTGAGACTATACTTGATACCGAGGCAGGGTTGATCTCCAAGTCGGTGAGGTTGACGCGGAACATGTAGAGGTCCTTGTTGGACACACCGCCGAGGGCAGCGACCAACAGGAATATCATGGAACCAACGCTAAGTATGAATGGCAGAGCCACGCAGATAACCCGGCCGACACCCATCTTTGCTGTGTTGTTATTTGTTGCTGAAGGTTGGTGTAAGAGTTCAGAATTGTAGCGTTTGCAGATAGGCCGATTTCGGCAAGTGGGTCGTCAGCTTGTCGTCAACGAGTGTACTTAGGGAAGAAACGATCGTTGGTAGGTGGAAAGCGTGTAAAGAGGCAGAGAGAGAAAAGGGAAGATGAGAGCCCTTTTTGAGATTTGGGTGTATGCGACAGAAGGAGGCAAACGGATGTGAGTGTGATGAGTGTGGGATGTGGTAGGCTGACGCAGACGGACGAGCGTTGATGTTTATAAAACAGAAGGGAGGGAGCAGGTGCAAAGAGCCGTTACGTATTTCTGCGTAAGGCACAGTATGGCAAGGAAGGCGCAGAGAAGTAGGTTGGGTGTACATGGGCAGGGACGCGGACGTGGCGCAGTACCGCAAACACAGCACCAGCTTTTTTGGTGGAGATGGGATGGCTACCTGTACTGCGTATCCGTACGTAGCTATGCTGCCCATCTATCTACTAGGGCCTGGGCGAGCACCGCTCGGTGGTGCGCAGCAGCAGCACATGAAACCGGGGGAATGTATGATTAGGTAAGACACCTCAAGGCAAGGACCCCGTTTGGCTCCCGCTGGTGTTGTTGGTTCATCACCTACGGATAACTCTTCAGGTTTCCAATTGCGTTGCTGACGGGCTGCAGGCCGCCTCCACACAGCTAGCGGGCCACGACTCAGCCCCCGGCTCTTCTAGGGACACCCATGACCCTTGTGAATCCCTCCACCGAGCAACGGCGTCGACAGGACAGCCGGACCCCAGGCTGCCAAATAGCAGAACGTCAGCCTCTCTCGTCCTGACGTGTGGTGTTTTTCTTTCTTTCTCTTCTCCGTCCTCTCCTCCCACTTGCTGTGCGAAACTGTATCGAATCATCATCCATGTCCGCACATGTCCGCGAGGCATTCGACTTGCCGTCTTGGCCTTTACGGATGGAGATGACCGATACAGCACCTTCCAAATACTGCTGTATGTCCGTAAGCGTAGGAACTCCTTCCAGGCACAGAGTACGGATAGGTACTCTAGACACAAGAAGACCAAGACGGGGACAAGATGGGGAAGGCATGGGCTGGAATTAGGAAATAAAGGTACGAATCTAATACCTACCTAGGTCCTAAAATCTGGGCAGATAGGTAGTCTGACAGGGATACCCATCCGTAGGGCAGATGCCGCCGTGACGCCACAGGTGAGTTCCTTTCCGGCTATGCTGTCCGCGCACGGGTACTTTCTGACACTGGCGTCAAACCACGCCCACCTTCACCTTGCAATCCGAGTATGCAGCTGTCGAGCCCGGCATTCTGCTCCCTGTAGATCCTGCTTGGTGAGACTATAGCACGGATGCCACGACTTCTTCCAAGTCGTCAATGATTCTCTCACAAGACAAACATATTTTGGACGTTTCGAAGCATCTGCATGGCAATCGTCATCATTTGGTATTGCTATAGCATACGGAATGGGATGCCGACCAGCATCGATCCAATCTCACCGTACGTGCGGCAAAACCGCCGAGCTGAGCTCAGAATATGCTCTCCGTACGTACCGTAAGTAAAGATGCCTAGGCCGTAAAAGGGCAAACGAGAACGTGAGGTGAAGCCGAAATGCAACCAATTATTCCCGAACGGCCAAGTCCTAGGGACGTTTCCACTTTGTGCTTTTTGGCTTCTCTCACCTCGTCATACGCGTCCTTCTCCTCCTGTCTCCCATTCGCGCTTGGCTTCGTGTTGGTCGGACTTGTGCAAGTTCGGAAAGATGAGATGGAACGGCGCACCTAGCACCACTGGCATTCATCACCGCACACTGTCAGCACTGTATACAGAGTCTGACAAAGTCTTGAGAAACATGAACCCGCCTTTCAACTGCCAGCCAACCTCCAGTCCCTCTATGAAAATTTGAGATTGAGTGGTCCTTGCCTGATATCATTGGCAAGATTCACACGTCAATCAACATCCTTGAGCAGCCGATCGCTGGTGTGTTGCTTGGTGGACCGGGTGACTAGGTGACTAGAACAAGAAACAAACAGCTAACCCACTCATCAGAGTCGCATCTACGTAGTACATCAACGATTTGCCTGGATCGGCAGCCAGTCTCGCTGTCTGACACGTCCAAGCTGCTAATCGGGCTCCGTCCGTCCACGCAATCAAATTGGTCCAGGGTTCGTCATCCTGCGGAGGCTCAGCTTTGTGTTTTTTTCCCCCCCAAGTTCCTTCACGGTTCCTGACTGCGGGGGGGAAACCACGGCATTGGACCAGTGTGCTTTTGTAACAACTGCCTACCTAATACCGCAGCGCTTGGCACAGGATTTTCCATCCCCCCCTCCCTGTCCCGAACTCTCATCTTGGCCGGTTATCGGGCTGGGTGAGGTGAGGTAGCAATGAGGGTGGCTGGCCACCCTTTCGGGCTTCGCCAGATCGCTCACTCAGACCCGCTCCCATCCCATCTTTCCCAATACCCACTAGCACCAGCCGATGAGGATGAGGCGGAACCCCCCCCCTCTTTTCTACGTAGTATCATAGCATGTCTCTCCAGCTAATTTTAGAACCCCGTCTCTTTTCTTTCTCTCCAATACCGCCCAACCAACGGGACACCGCCGCCCGGGTTCAACACCACTTTCCGGTCTTCGGCGCCGAATCACAGTCTCAAGTCTCAGGTCCATGTGGGGCCCTCCTGAGGCCCTTCAGTTTTCTAAGGTTGCCGAGTTTCCTCAAACAACTTAACAGGCGATCTTGAAATCATCGTCATTGGCTGGCTTGCCTCTTGGACGCGTGACGAAGCCATCACCGCCACCACCGTCCAGCGCAAACTCCAGGACAGGGCAGGACCCGTAGATTAGCCTCCCGTATATGGCGTGAAGGAAACCGACCCAATAGCTTATCGGCCACTTGACGTGTGCTGCGCTGCGGTGACATCTGGCTGCAACCGAAAGAGGGGCTGTTCATGGCGTTTTTGGCAAAAACCAATTTACTGCCCCCCAGTGATATTGCATCCTCTTCTACGGACTAGTTGTGGCGCCTTGAAGCCTCGAGCTGATTTGACAGCTCCTGCGAATTACGACTCGGCCGCGAAAAAGTATCGTGGCTCGGCCACCTCAAGCTTGTCGTTTGCATCTCGGCGTGGAGCCTATACTGCCAGCTAGAGCTCGATTTTGGCTCATGGGGTTTGTGGAGAGACGGATCTAGGCTTCTGCAGCTCGTGTTGATTCGTCGCATTGTATTGTCGTCGTTGTTGCTTCTTATGGCAATAGGTATGGCACGCGGTCCATCTCAATCCCTCGTAGTCAGTTAACATATGTGTTGCTTCTTTGGTGTTTTGTTTCCTTCTTTATTTGGCGGTATTTGGACGACATATCTCCCCGTGTTTCAGTATTGGCAGTGATGCTGTCCGTTGAGGAACGACACCCAGGTGCTACGGAGATGCTGCATCCTCGGGTGTACGCGCGATCAAACCTCTAGCTGTTCCGTCCCACTCACGTCACGCCGCGACTGCAAGAGCCTCGAACGACTACCGTATAGTAAAAAAGTCAACTCGAGTCGAGATCCGTTTCAGCGGCGAGAGCGAAAAATCGAGAGAGACCCTAATCCTAGGCGGGGCAGGGGAGGGCCTGCAATAGCGGCCCCCGGATATAGGTCGCAGCCACGCAACCTTCTTTCGCCGGCTTCCGACTCTTTCCAAAAAAGGTGGGAAGAAAAGAAAACGCTGGATCGGAGTACATGTCCGGCTGGGCCAGATAAATGCCCCCGAAGACGGCGATGCCGGCGTGACGCGCGGTGTACGGCGGCGGCATACAAAATATCTTGCCATCCGCATGAACTCGCTCTCGCACGCCGATTTTATGGCGTGTCACCTCGGAATGCCGACTTGGACGACTAGCTTCCCTATAAGGCTATAAGGTAGCCTGGGGAGGGTTCGTCCGAGTATCCCGCTGTGGAAGGAAGTCCTCTGGCTTCTCGATAACCCGTCATCCTGCGTGCGCCCCGGTACGAAGTCACAAATTACACCCGTGGTCTGGGAGACTACCTACCACGCAAGCTAATGCAGCCGCATAACCTATCGTAGCACAACGCGGCCTGCCGTCTATTCTGTTCCCGTTTGTTGGATCACCGGCAATGTGGGAGCAAAACCCTTTCCCCGCCATTTTTGAGGCCCTCAACCGTCGCACGGCAGCCAGCAGCAGCACGTGCTCGCTTGGACGCGGGGACAACACAGCGAAGGAATGTGTGACACTTTTGGAATGGGACGTCAGCGTCAAGAAGGGCCCTTAGGTACGGATATTCCGCCCAACTTTTACCTCGATTCGCTCGTCTGCTGCACCGGAGCCGGATGGAGATGGATGTTGGAGTTTGAGAAACAGAACGGAAAATGCAAGTCTGGATTCGAGAGCGGATACAAGTGGTAATGAGAGTCGCCTTACAGACGTGCATGAGTGTGCGCGAATGGTTGGGTGTGGACTTTGGACTATCAACGATTCCTCCGGCCATCATCAACCACAAGTAATGTGATTTGGAAGCAACTACGCCATTGAAAGGTAACAAAGTACCTATGGCGGACTAGTTGGTCAGGCAGAATGGTCTTCCAAGTGTCTACATTGTGATCCGAAGGTTGTTAATCACACGATGGTCACTTCTCACCATCCTCCCATGCTTCCACCCCTCCCCTCCCCTCCCCTCTCTTCTCGTCTCATCTCGTCTCGTCTCGTCTCGTCTCATCTAGTTCCTCCTTCTCCTCCTCCTCCTCCCCTCTCCGCCCGGCTACCACACCCAAACCCGATGCGCATAGGAAAGCTGGGAATTACCTAGCAATGCTGCAGATTCCACAATGCCCATCAGCAGTTGACCACGCGTCAGTGGAAAGCACCGCAGAGTCCGGCGATTTTACACACGAGAAGCAGAAGGCCTCGTGCTAAAATACATTGGACAGGCACGACTTGACGCCAAGTGTCGTCACTGGTGAGAGTGGTCTGAAGCCATATCTGGCCGAGCGGGAGCGGGACTGTGGAGGGTGGTGGGAAATGGGTGGCAAGAGAGAACACCTCGTCTAGTGCGGGACTCCGGTACAATACATGTAGTGGAGGTATGGCGGAGGCGGCCTAGGCCCGGCCTATGTGGTTGGCGGAGACCTCTCCCACCTAGTCGGCGTTCTGATTGGCACCAAGTTGGTCCTTTTCCCTCTTGGAAGCAGGACGAGCTGCATCAGTCACAGTTACCTACCACTGCGCTGCATATTGTAGACTGTTGGAATGGATGGCAATGATCCAATCCTTTTGCGCGACCACTCGGCTGTCTTGCGCTGAGCCTCAACGCACCACGCACCTGGTCTGACTGGCTCCAGATGCACATTGGGATGGGGTATCCGTATTTGTGCTTGGGATTTCCGAAAAGTTGAGGTACTCGAGAAGCAGCAGCAGCAGCAATCCAATGAGATGAGAGACCGAGGGCTACTCTGGGCATGGGGTTGACTGCACCGTCCACAAAGTCAATGTGTGAAATTGGTGAAAGTGGTGCGATTTATCTCTTTATTATGTGCCGTAGAATATGAAACTTGGCTTCAGTATTGGGAACATCCCTCCTGTGCAAGCTTGTGTTTACTGACTGCCAGCTTGATGTATGTTCTGGATGTGTATTCTTACGAGTGTCCAGTTTCAACCTTGTGCCTGCAACATCAACACAGGGGTTGAGCTCCAAAAAGCATCACCCAAGCGCCTGGTAACCTCCTTTTTTTCTTTCTTTCTTAGGACCTCGCGCCAGCATTTGGCTGGGCCATCTGATTGTCAACTCAATAGTCCGTACTCTATCCGTAGAGCAATCAAGATCCGGCTCCGGGTGTGGTCGGTCAAGGTTATCAGAGATAAGCACCCAACAGCAGGCCTTGAGTACCTTAGCCCAATATGTCCCACCCACTGTCTCCCTTGTCTGCCTGGTTGATATCATTACAAAACAAGGCAATTTGAGGCAGACTAGACAGGGCAGAGCAGGGTGGTGGTTTTTACGAGCAGTGCAGCACGGACGAGCAGGAGGTCAGGTCAGCCCAGCCCAGTCGACCAGCACACGAGTTTCAACTTTCAGGCGCTGTCGACAGGGAAAGG